CATCCTACGTCAGGTTTTGAAAAAAAAAAAAAAAAAAAAAAAAAAAAAAAAAGGAAAAAAGGAAAAAAAGAGGTAAAAAAAGAAAAACCAAAACCTACGCCCCAGTTCCCCTTCCAGTTCCATTTTCATCCAAGTGCCTTCCGCAGCGTCGCAATCTGCTCCAGAACAGCCGACCTGCTCGTGCCCCCAATTGCTGCCTTCATCTCCACAGACCGCTCGTAATCAAAAACTTCCAGCACATCGTCGCCAAACCGGTTGTCGACGCTTTGCAGCTGCGCCAGGGTCAATTTGTCCATGGGGATCCCTTGGTTTTCTGCAAGAGCCACGACGCGGCCGGCGATGTGGTGCGTTTCGCGAAAGGGGAGGCCTGTTTTTGTATGCATGCATTGCCGATTAGTTTGGGGGGTTAGAGTGTTTTGTGTGCCCGATTGGGGTAAAATTGTGTTTTAGATAAGGGGGTATATGGTTGAAAAGGAAACGTTCTTGAATCTTTGTTACCTTTCCGAACGAGATATTCCGCCAGATCAGTAGCCAGCATGTCCGGGGTTAGAGCCTGGCGCATTTTATCTGGGAAGACGGTTAGGGTGGATAGCACGCGGGTTGCGATGAGCAAGCTATCCTTCAGCGTCTTGACGTGTTCGAGGAGCGGCTCCACGCTCTCCTGTAGGTCCTTGTTGTATGTTGACGGAATGCCCTTGATGGTCATCATGAGACCGGCCATACCACCAAATATTCTCCCACACTTGCCTCGTAGGAGCTCGAGGGAGTCACCTGTCGGTGTGTGTCAGAGTTGGCCCCTCTGCTAGCCTTTACAGTAAAGAACTTTGATTCAAAGAAAGGCGAGGGAGGATAACAACATACTATTCTTTTTCTGGGGCATCAACGAGCTTCCCGTGGTGTAGGCGTCCGACAGGCGGACGAATCCAAATTCAGTCGTACCGTAAACAATAAGATCCTCGCTCCAGCGGGAGATATGCAACATCAATGACGAGCCCCATTGCATTGTTTCCAGAATGAAGTCCCGGTCTCCAACCGCGGACATGCTATTGGGGATCAGGCCGTCAAAGCCCAGCTCTTTCGCCATGGCTTCTCGGTCAATTCCAAACGCATTTCCCGACAAGGCTCCGCAGCCAAGAGGACTGCGGTTAACGTGTTTTATAACCTCGCGCAGACGCTCCAGGTCGTTCATGAAAAAGCTGCCGTAACTGAGCATCCAGTGGCTCCATCGAACTGGCTGTGGCAGAAGCGTAGAAGGTCAGCAAAATGAAATATCCTCGTCTCCTCGTCTGTTGCTCGCGGAGGCATTTTTACCTGTCCGCGCTGTAAGTGGGTGTATCCGGGGATGACATAGTCGATATCATTCTTCGCCCGATCCGCAATGGTCGTTAATAAATCGACAAGGTACGTTTCGATCACGCGTAGCTCATCCCGAAGCCATAGTCGCAAATCTGTCGCGACCTGGTCATTTCGACTGCGACCACTGTTGGATCAACGGAATCGTCAGCTACTGAGCAAACACACAAACGTTTCACTCCACGACGATTCCCAACCCACCTAGCCCCCCCCCCCCCCTCCGCGCGTATAGAAGTAGACCAAACAACGGCAAAGGACAGTCCCAAGAGATGAGACAAAAAAAGAAAGAAGGAACAAGCTCATGTATGTAATGCCCTTACGTATGAAGCTTTCCAGCAATGTCCTTGCCAATGATTTCCCCCAATCTGCGCTCGTTCGCCGTATGGATATCCTCATCGATGCCGGGGACGATCTTAAAGACTCCCGTCCGCCATTCCTCCAGCACTTTCCTCAGTCCGGTCTCAATGGAACCGAACTCATCCTTGGTAAGGATCCCGGTTGTGACATTTGCTCGCGCGAAGGCAATGGAGCCGGCAATATCCTGAGCGTAGAAAGCGCGGTCGAAGTATATGGACTCGTTGTACGCGACCATCAATGGGTCGGTGGCGCCTGGAGGAGGGAGATGATAATACCAGGTCAGACGGTCAGCGGGGTAAAGTCAATTCGTTCGACAAGGGGTATATGGGGATTAAAGGAGAGGGAGGTTTGGTCAAATGTCAGCTTACCGGTGAACCTGCCGCCCCAGAGTTTACCAGCGACCGCCCCGGAGGCGGTTTGCTGGTTTTGCGAAGCCATTGAAGCCTGGTGGGACTTGGGTACAGGAGTGTGGTGTTTCGGGTTGAGCTCAGGTAGGTTTGTATACTATTTTTTCTTTCTTTTTTCTTGTTCTTTTCTTTCCTTTTTTTTTTCAGACTTGTGCAAAAATGAATAACTAAATAACGTGAGAATGGCAGATTTCGTCGCCGCTTTTCCGAAATAAATGGTTGCGCTCATAGTGGTGTAACCGTGCCAAGCGCATCTCACTACCTCCCAGACGTAAAGCTTGCGAAAACAGAATTTTCTGCCACCCCCTGAAAAATAGTAGCAAAACACCGCAGAAATAACCAAAATATCCACGTATCTCTAAAATCATTCAAATATCATCCAATCCATTCAAATACGCACCTTTATCATCAAATCTGCCAATATGCCCCCCCAGCTCAGCGAATTTACCACCAATGAGATTGTACATCTTCTAAACAATGATTATATATCTGCTCAGATTGCACAGATCATTGAGTGTCATCTGATCATTGTATATTAAATTCAATGAAATATTCACTGTTTTGAAACTGCTAGAAGTTCTCATTCAATATGAAATGTAAAGTTAAAGATCACACTGAATATCTTATCAGATTTAAAAAACTTTTTTAAAACATATTCAATTATATATTGTGATGAGATTGTTTACTTTATGAAAAATGAATTTGATATTGATATTCACTTTCAATCAATATTTAAATTATTGAAAAAATTGAATTTGATATAAAAAAAGATGATTAATTATTATAATTGTCATTTATAAAACTTGTTAATTTATTAATTCTATTTAATATAAATTGAATCTGTGATCAGTCAATGCAATGAGAAATTTTAAATTTAATGATATATTCAAATTAATCAATATCAATTTAATTAATTTATTTTTTTACATGAAAGTACTGTGAATGAATATATTGCAAATTGATGATATGAATGATCAAAAAGAGAATTCTTTTATTGTATTAGAAAACTTTATAAACAATTTTATAAATGATTAATTTTATCTATAATAAATGTTGATAAATATTTTAACTATAATATATATTAGAGATTTTATAATATAAAAAGATTCAATAAATTTATATATGTCTGAATACTACTTAAATGTTAATGAAATTATCATTATTTAATAATGAATAATTAATTACTTTTCTCATCATTCACAAACATTGTGAGATTTTTTGTGAGGGGTGATGACAGTGTGAAGAGTGAATAGTGGAAGATAGTAGATAGCGTAGTGGATGATAATAACAATAGTAGTAATAGTAGTAGTAGTAGTAGCTAATCGCTAAGAAGGAAAAGAAAGAGAAAAGAAGATGTGCAAAATACATACATCCATATATATATACATAGAGAAATAGCGGTAGTGAGAACATAATGGAAAGAGGTAAGAATAAGCAAAGATAATATAATAAGGAAATAATAAGCGAGTGCATTACAAGTCTGAATGAGATCTCAGGCTCAGAGGTAAGTGTTTGCAGAAATCAAGAATCTTCTAACTGTGTCTTCTTTTTCTCCTTCTCCTCCTCCTCCTTCTTATCCTGCTTCTCATCATCAGTTGAATTCTTGTCATTATCTGGAACATTTGGAACAGGTGGTTTGAGCAGATGAAGGTGCAGGATAGTTGGAGTCCTTTTACAAGCTTGCAAGGCAGTAGAACAGTGGGTGTTGCAGGGCATATTGACAGATTTGATGATAAAGATGCATATTTGAATGAATTGGATGATATTTGAATGATTCTAGAGATACGTGGATATTTTGGTTATTTCTGCGGTGTTTTGCTACTATTTTTCAGGGGGTGGCAGAAAATTCTGTTTTCGCAAGCTTTACGTCCGCCACAATATATTTCGGCCATCCAACGTCCATCCATTCCCATTCCCATTCCCATTCCCACCAACGCCCTGTATGCAACGATGCTACGATGCAACTATGCAACTATCCTCGCACGAATGCCCTCTCCCGGGCCGTTATCCTGTCCCCTCGCCTCGCGTCGGGCACCGTCTGCTGCAGCACCAACATCCCAACTTTGAAGAACAGCCAGCACGGTACTCGAGGTGCAGATATGCTCGAAGTTACCTGGCAAGGTTCTCAAGCATCGGCAACTAAATCCCTTTTGAGCCATGAGGGACCCTGAGAGCAATGCTATCTATCGCTTTGCCTGGAAGTGGGGTCATTGTCAGAGTAACGTCATTCATTCCTTGTCTACGCGTAGGTTGCCCGCAGACTTGATGCCCGTGAAGTGCATACCCGACAAGGAGGAGTCGTGGTAGTATTTTCGCACGTTCGAAAGTCGTCGCTTATTTATTTCAACTCGTCTTCTCGTATCTAGCTTCCGACTGAGGATTTTGCTGCATACGAGACTGTTGACTGAACGTCAAACTTCTCTTGCCCCCTCTCAATCATCGCCTCCCCTTACGAACATATATCAATCTGAGGCAAAATATAAAACGAAATGAACCGACAATCGAAACGATAAAATCTCTGGCAAGTTTTATTAAAACAATGCAAAACTCATTAGCCTAAGTACAGTAGTACATGCTCGATACAGAGTCCGCTACTTTGGTGGGTATTTTGGGCGTCCGCTTCAAGTCTAGGGGTATATCCTCCTGTCCTCTGTTCCTCGAATCTGTAACAAAAGAACATAGCAAATGCACCCAAGGAAAAACACAATGAGAGAAAATGCAAATACGTAAAGCATGCCTGCCAATCGAAAGGGGTAAAAAAAAAAAATGATAAAGAAAACTATGTACATAATCGAAATTCAGGACCTCAAGGCCTTGCTCGCTCATCAAAGCACAACACCATTTAGGTATCGTCGTCCTCTTCACTCCTCTCGAAAAAAACTTTTACAGCTTGGCTCGCCCCTCTTTCACAGTTTCCCACTCTTTCTTCCCAAACGGGACATACTCGCCCCCTCTAAACCAGTATAGCAGATCATCCACCCCCTTCTTGCTCAACAAATCCACATCCACCCCTTCCTTTCTCAGCACATGTTTCTGTTGCTTATTATTGCCTGTCGACTGTGTGCCTCTCGTTACCCTGAGAAATAGTGGGACGGCATACTTGGGCAGATTCTCCGACGCAAGTAGAGCCAAGGAGCGCAGCACGGTTGATGACGGCTCCAGAATCGGTACTTCCGATGCGTCCTCATGTTCACTGTTGGGCGGAGGGATGATCTTTGCCTGGTCACGGAACACGATGGCAGCACATCCAGCACGGCCGTCGTGTTTCGGCAATTCGACGCCGTAGACGTTCGCTTCGAGCACTTCGGGGTGCTTGCCGAGGACTTCGGAGACTTCGTTGGTGGACACGTTCTCGCTGCGCCAGCGGAATGTGTCGCCGATGCGGTCGGAGAAATACCAGCGGCCCTCAAAGTCCCAGCGCATAACGTCGCCGGTACGGAACCACACATCCCCCTTCCTCAGCACGTTGCGCATTATCTTGCCCTCTGTCGCACTGCGGTTGTTGAAATAGCCCTGGAAGGTCGACTTGATGTTCGGGGCGTAGAGTTGGAAGAGGAGCTCGCCCGGCTCTCCCCTGGGGACCTTCTTGCAGAAACCCGTCTTGGGATCGCGCCGCGGCAGTTCAGTCTCATAGTCTAACTCGACGACCGCGACAGTGTGGCCGGCTATTATCTCGGCAACCGGGCCGTTCTTTCCGATGGCTCCAGCTGTGAAGTCGTTGCCGGACCTGTTCCAGAGGCCGGCGGTGCCCTCTGTCGAGGCATAGAATTCGCAGATCATCGGCACGTTGAACCTCTCTTTAATGCGATTCCAAACGTCAGGTCCCAGGCCGTTCCCGTAGAGCATGCGTACGTTGTGCTTGAGGTCAAGATTCTCCCCACTGACAGGGTCGATTTCGCGTGGTGTTGCGAGCAGATATCGAAGGGTTTCACCAACATACTGAACGACGGTTGCCTCGTTGTTGCGGACTTCTTTCCAGAATTTGCTGGCGGAGAACTTGCGGCCGATGATGATGGTTGTTGTCGAAACCATGCATGCTAAATAACCTAGAATGGCGGCTGTGGAGTGGTAAAGTGGCATGCACTATGAAATATCAGTTTGGACATTCTTGACTGAAGAGGAACCAAAAAAAAAAAAAAAAAAAAAAAAAAAAAAAAAAAAAAAGAAAAAAGAAAAGAAAAACGCATGTATCTACTGTGTAGATGTACGCGCAGAATACACTGCATCGCAAAAACACCACAATGGGGATTATAGCGAAATTCGACATACCGTATAAACGCGATCCGTCGTTTTCAAACCTATCCATTTGCTAACGAATCCAGCGGCCATGATACATTTATACCAGCTAACAATGACAGCCTTTGGCAATCCCGTTGTGCCGCTAGTATATATTAGAGTGGCTACGAACAGTTAGACATACCTGGGCAAAGAGAAAAAGCTATTGGCGCAAAAGTAATTTACTTACCCATATCACTTGACTCTGATCCGGGCCGACTCGAATTTGGTGCCCGTTCGGCCGGCGTCAACAGGATCTCCCTCTCCAACGCCTTATCATAGAACACAACTTGGACAGAGCCACCCCCTTCTCGGAAGTCCGGCCTGCTAAACATCTCCAACTGCTCTGGTGGGAAAAACTCCTCCTGCAACTCGCGCTCAGCAAATAGGATCTGGGCAGTCGACACCTTAACACAATGCACCAGAGACGCCTTGGCCAAGTTATAATTGATCAAAGCTGGCCTCGCGCCAATACTCCACAACCCCATCCACATAAAGACGAATGCAGAGGAGTTCATCAAATCCATGATTACCACATCGCCCGTCTTGATGCCATGGGTATTTCTCAACCAGGTGCCATAGCGCAGAGAGGTGGTGTATAATTCGTGGAAGGTCCAGGTTTGCTGGTCGTACACAAGGGAAGGGCGGTTGGCAGTGCACTTATCCAGTGCGTTTCTTTCCATGACGTAGAATAGATTGCACTGGTCCCTCCGCTCAGCTATCATACGGTCGAGGGTGCAACGAGCTGCCGAATAGAACACATTGATGTCTTCCCAGATGCCCCATCGTGCGTTCGAATAGGCAATGGAGGCAGCGGCCGCTGGCACAGCGAGGGATAAGGGAACCTCTGCTTGCGCATCATTAGTTGGTGGTTTCGGCTCGTTTATTGATTGACATGAGAGCTATGGAAGAGGGAATCATGGAGAAGGGGATCGTACCTGCGAGACCCATTTGTGGCGTGGAAAGAAAATGGAGGAGATGAAATGAACGCGGTTATCCCCCGCAAACTTGAAGTCGAGGCCAAAAGTCAACGAACGAGATAAAATGAGAAAGGAAAAAAGAGAAAGAAAAAGAAAAAGAAAAAGAAGGTATTGGGAGAGGGAGGGGGAAAATACTGAACGAAAGTGCTTTCTGCCTGAGTATTTGTTCTGCGAGAGACTGAAGGCGACGGTTTTTCACACCCTTCATCACGTCTCACAAGCGTCGTCCAGATGGACCTGGCAAATAACACTGCTATTTCTGTGTTGACTCGATAGGAGGGCCAACTTCACTACGGGGAAGCAGACGCACTATTTCGAGGATTGGACTGTCGAGCAAATTCCGATATTGGAGCATCTAACAAGCGAAGTCATGGCGCATAAGAAGACCACAAAAAATAAAACCGAACAAACCAAAAAAAAAAAAAAAACCAAAAAAAATAAAAGGGGGGGCTTAGCTCGGCGTGGAATGGAGGCCACCATCAGTTATTTCAATTGTTTGGCGGAAGCCTGTCCATGGTTCATTCCTGCGATCGGTGGGGATACCGAGCTGTGAGATAGCTCGGCTCAGGGCCGGCAGAGTCAAAACCATCGCCATGTTGCGGAGGAGAGTCCGTACACCAGTGAATGGCAAATGGCAAGGAACCCCGCTGAGGATCGTTCTCCACAGCGCGAGTTTCTCTATCCCGTGCCAGCAATCGTCTTCACGGTGGCTCAAGAAGGATGAAGCTTAGGAGGAATAGGGTCCAAAGAGCCTCGAGTCATCCGCCGCTCGTCACGTGGCCCGCCTGGCAAACTCAACCGCCCGTCGGCTAACTCTATAGACTCTTATCCAATAATCTGCGCCGTGGCACATGCTGCGTCTTCGACCACCGCCTTCGCAGGGCAGCACCCAAATGCGCCGATTTGACTGGGGAGAATCGTTCTCTGTCGCTGCGACCCTCTCGGGATTCCTCACCATTGTTCGCCGTGGCCAAGCTGAAAGAATGCCGAGTTCAGGTTCCTCGCAATCCGCACCGAGGCGCGAGCAAGGATATGGGTTGCCGGCGCCCTGTTTCGGTTTCCGAGGATACGATTTCCAGTTTGTCGTTGACCACAAAATTAGAGTTTTTGAGTATTATTATTCAGACATGTTACGGTGGTTTAAACCCACTCGTACCAGACACAGACAACATGATTCCATTTTATATGCTGACAGATACACTTGTTGCTTCAAAAACGCCCTCAGCTTCCCGTTCCAGCACCCCTGTATCCAGAACAAACCCAATCCTCACATACTCCTGGAATTCCCGGTCCCGCCCGCATCCCCAAAACATGCACTCCCCGCCATAACCAACACCCCTTCCTACTCAAACAACTTCTCACGAAACACCACATCATCCACCAGCCTCCCCATCTTCGAAAACCTCACACACGCCACAGACCCGGCCACGGGTTTCGCCGACTCACAAGCCCACCGATTCTGCTCAATAACCCCTTCCGGCAGCGCCAGGTTATGCCGCGCGAGCGCATTATTGCTCTTGAGCAGGTTGTGCAAGCGCCCCTCATGCAGCGCGTAGAGGGCGATCTGCCGGTCGATCTGGCTTGCTGAGACGATTGTGTAGGCGCGCCAGGCCTCGCATGCCCGAACCAAGTCGACGTTGGGTGACGCGAGAGCCAGCCGACCCGAATGCCGGCGAGGGGGTAAGCTTTGGACATCGAGCCGGAGACGATCACGTTCGCGTAACCCGGAGTCATCACGGATTGGGGGAAACTCCGGGTCGGCAGGGGTGATGGAGTGGAAGAGCGGTCTGTAGACTTCGTCTCTGATGATAGTTATGGAGTGTTCGCGCGCGATTTGGACGATGGATTTGAGCGTTGAAGGGGGATGATCGAGGAGAACACGAAATTTATCGTGATCAAGTATATGAAAACGATATCCATTCTATGCCATTCTATTCTATTCAGGACTAATCAATGCCATCTCAAAAAAAAAAAAAAAAAAAAAACCCCTCAAAACCCCACTGGCGCCATCATCCCACGCTCAGCTCCCTCAATGTCCGGCCGCCACTTATCTTCCCCCTTCGTCTTCCACAGACTTACATCCGCCCTCAACGCTGTAGGCTGCGTATACGGCTGTTGATACGTAGGATATTGGCATATGTCATGATCGCCACGATCGTACATGCCGTAGAATATTAGGAAATTCGCTAGCGATGCGCCGGGTGTTACCAGCACATTCTCTGGCGAGAGCGGGGTTGATCTTTTCACGGACTACAGGTTAGATATGCGGATGCACAACTGCTCTGAGCCGTATTGTGGACCGTAATCCATAGCTCTGGATAGGAACTTCGTGGATAACGATGCCATTTTCATTGTTGTTCGAGGAAGAGGATGATGGGTTGTCAGAGAGCAATTGGAGGTCTTGGAGGGAGATGGGGAGGGAGCTGGGGCTGGAGACATTACGCTTCACTTTGGGGCTGTTGGCATTTGGGGTACTGGATTGGGGTTGGATGTTGGCTGGCTTGTTTTCATGGAGGAATCTCTGCGGCGCCTATAATATCCACAACTTCCTTAATCTCATCAACGCCGTTGCATTTAGGCTGCTGGTAAGTGGGATAACCCCATACTGATTCGTCGCTGCAGGGGGGAACAATAGCGATAGGATCCTTTGGCTTGGTGGCTAGTGCTTTGTATGCGTCTTTCATATGCTCGTTTGTCATGACCACGACGGTCCGTGTCGGTTCTGTTTCTGCCAGAGGATCATCAAACTGTATTGATTATTGAGAGGTGAAGGGTTCAGAGAACTATGCTGTGTAGGCGACGACGTCACTTCTCGCTAACTAGTACTAACTAGTACTAGTTCATTGATCTTCGCCTGAGGCATCGCTGAGCCTCGTGCCTGTTGCGTTGACTAAGCTCTGACTACGCTGGTCCCGAGGCAACGTCATGCCGCTCCAGCAGTTCCAGCCTCCTCAACTGGCTCCAACGGCTCCTCATCCAGCACTTCCGCAGCGTCGACTCCTGCGGCCCGTCCATCTTCGAGTACAGGAGTTATCATAGCCGCTCGTGATCGCTAACTGTATGCGGATGCTTGGGTTCCGCAACAAGAGAAATAACGAACCAATCGAGGTGGGTGCCTATCGCCAACTACGCCTCTTGCTCCTCATGAACTAGGTTTCCATCCTGCAACTCCGCCTTTATGCTCTGACATCACCAATAACTATTCTGTCTCCCTACCATAATCCACGGTATTTGGTGTCATCCTTGCTTCATCGTCTCCTCGGCCCTGTGTATATGCGCCCATCGTCTATTTTGCCCTGTCTGTAGCCCTCCGCGATGCGACCCCCTTCGCTCGCAAGCTCCTTCCTCTACGCCTCTATCCTCGCCTCGTCATCACTACCATGGCTTGCCTCGGCCTTTTCCAATTATTCAGATTCCTCCCTGCTTCTCTCATCGCGCGTGCTCCTTCAGGACGATCGTCCGAAAGACTGCCCTCCGTGCTTTAACTGCGAGCTCGAAGCCTTCCAGTGCCACCAGTTCGCAACCTGCAATAAATACAACGGGAAATGCGATTGTCCTGCCGGATTTGGAGGGGATGATTGTACCCTCCCTCTCTGCGGCTCCTTGCCGGATGGGAAAGAGAGAGCACCCCGGAAAGGAAAATACTGCAATTGTACAGAGGGTTGGGAGGGTGTCAACTGTAATGTTTGCAAAACGGACAATGTCTGCAATTCTATGATGCCGGAGGGCGAGGGAGGCGTATGCTACAAGGATGGCGTTACCCAGAAAGAGAATTATCAGATGTGCGCGGTGACTAATCGCAAAATTGTTGATATGCTTGGTGATCAGAAACCGGAGGTTACATTTTCTTGTAAAGAGTCGGACCATAAGTGCAATTTTCAGTGTATGTTCTTCCTTTATCCATATCCTTTAAACCTTAATAATACCTTTTTGCTTGTTCAATATCGCACCTGCTGACATGGAATCTAGTCTGGGTTGACCCAAGTTGAATCGTTCTACTGCAATTTGGACACCTGCAAATGGGGTATGGAGAGTACATACTCCCAGAACAAGACGACTTATACCTGTGAGAACGTAAGCTGTCGATGTATTGCTGAAAGGATGCTGTGTCAGAAGGATGCACTTGACCTGAGCGACTTTTTGAAGGAGGAGATTAAGGGACCAGCTACGTTTACGTCTACGTCAACTCTCGGAGGTAGTAGCGAGGATGGAAGCCGATTCTCAGAGCCAGTTATGAATGACATGATCAAGAATATCTTTGGCGACCCGGCTATCTTTTTAGCATGCCGGTCGGGAGAGTGTTTGTATAAGACTGATCTTCCAGGTTATAAACCACCGGTGAAAGTTATCAATACTCCGCTCATTTCGGGAGTAATCGCGAGTTGCTCTCTTTTCATTGTGGCCGTTATCATGGGTGTATGGTATCTGTCTAGACGCTCGGCCTATCGTGATTATATTTCCTTACCGCTCGATGACTCCGATGATGAAGGTGCGAAACTCATGGTCGACCACAAACCCGCCTCGCTACACTTTGAAAACGTTGCCTACTATTTTAACGGGAGGCAAATCCTTTCAGGAATTCAAGGTTCTGCTCATCCAGGCCAACTTATGGCCATTATGGGGGCCTCTGGTGCAGGAAAGACAACATTCTTAGATATTCTAGCTAGAAAGAACAAACGTGGCGCGGTGGAAGGTGTCTTTTATGTGAATGGAGAGAAGGTCGATGACGATGAATATCGTAGTGTCATAGGATTTGTTGATCAGGAGGACACGATGTTACCGACTCTCACAGTCCATGAGACAATTTTGACCAGCGCATTACTCAGGTTGCCCCGGAATATGAGTAGGGCTGCAAAGGAGCAGAAAGTTTTTGAAGTCGAGAAGCAGCTTGGGATCTATCATATTAAAGATCAAATGATCGGATCTGAGGAGGGAAGAGGGCGCGGTATCTCTGGCGGGGAAAAGAGACGTGTTGGTATAGCATGCGAACTTGTGACGAGCCCTAGCATTTTGTTCTTGGATGAACCTACTAGTGGCCTGGTATGTCTCCTCCCCCCTCCCCCGAACCGAAATCTTTCGCTGCCCACTTTAGTAAATCCATTATTGACTCTTTGCAGGATGCTTTCAATGCGTTTAATGTTGTTGAGTGCTTGGTGACCTTGGCTAAAAATTTCAACCGCACCGTCATCTTTACAATCCACCAGCCCCGCTCGAATATTGTGGCATTATTCGATCAATTAATCTTACTGGCTGAGGGAAAAACCGTTTACTCTGGCCCATTCGCCAGCTGCCAACCATATTTCGACCATATCGGATATTCGTGTCCCTCTGGCTTTAATATCGCAGACTATCTTGTTGATTTGACCATGCATGCTAGTAACACTCACTCACGGTATGAAGATGAAATTCATTTGGATGTCAACCACGATGCTGCCAGAACCGCGACTAGCAGCTTACGAGCGGTTAAATCTATCGCGAGTGTGTCGAACGCTTCCGTGGACAATAGCAGCTCGGACAGACCTAACGAATCGGGATTCCGTCCAATCAGTAAACGTAAAGAGTCACTCAAACAACGACAGGACAAGCAGCTCTATACAAGGAGGAAGGCTGCTGAAGTGGGTACGCCCTCTACTTTACGCACTGAGGACGAAGAACACATAGTCGGTAGTCTTTCTGGGAACGGCCAACATCGATCACGCCAACCAAACAATGTTACTTTGCGAGTTCTCGATGACCCAGATCATCCTCCTCCGTCTTCAGCGGGATTCGGCACCGACCTTGATCATCTAGTCTCCAGCTACATCGAATCGAATGTCGCAGCATCCGTGCGTGACGAGATCAATGCCGCCGTCAACATGGCCGCAGAAGCAAACGGATTTACGAGCTCGGGACTGGAAGCAAACGGGTCCTTAAATAAACCAATGACTGGCTATGCCAAAGTTGGCCTTTTCAGGCAATTCACCATCCTTTCCCAACGGACATGGCGCAATCTATATCGAAACCCCATGCTCATGCTCACCCACTATGCAATCGCTATCGTGCTCGCGGTGCTTTCCGGATTTCTCTTCTACGGACTAACAGACGACATAAAGGGTTTCCAAAATAGACTGGGCCTGTTCTTTTTCCTCCTCGCCCTCTTCGGCTTCAGCACCCTAACTAGCCTAAACGTCTTCTCAACCGAACGATTACTCTTCGTCCGCGAACGTGCTAACGGATATTATTCACCAATAACCTATTTTGCCTCAAAGGTCGCCTTCGACATCGTCCCGTTACGCCTTATCCCACCAATCCTCATGGGCATCATCGTATACCCGATGGTTGGGCTGATCCCCGCGTGGCCCGAATTCCTCAGATTTATGCTCATTCTCCTACTGTTCAACCTCGCTGCAGCTTGCATCTGCCTGACTATCGGGATCGTCTTCAAAGATGGCAGTGTCGCAAATCTGATGGGCAGCCTGGTGATGCTATTCAGTCTCCTGTTTGCTGGCCTCCTTCTCAACCGCGATGCAATTCCGAAATCTGCACTTTGGCTTCAAGTGGTACGTATTTCCCATTCCATTTCCATCCAGAATCCAACCCAACTTCAAGCCCCCCCTCCCCCCTCCCTCCCTCACAAAAAATTTTCTTTTAAAAAAATTAAAATTAAAGTTAAATTCAATTCAATAACGCTAAAGTATATATGTTTCATCAACAGCTCTCCATCTTCCACTACGGCTTCGAAGGTCTAATCGTCAACGAAGTAACATACCTCACTCTCATCGACCACAAATACGGTCTTGACATCGAAGTCCCTGGCGCCTCGATACTGAGCGCGTTCGGCTTCAATACCCTGGGTCTGTGGCACGACGTTATTGGCCTGGGCATATTCTCTGGCGTTTTCATCGTTATTGCATATGCCGCTATGCACTTTTTACTTGTTGAGAAGAGGTAGAAAAGCCATATAAATATATGGATGGGTGTCTGAATGAGTGAGTGAGCGAGAATGGGATCCGTGTGCATCAATCAAATCAGATGGGGCAAGCTCTCAAATTTTTTTGGGTCTCCTTTTTTTATAAATATATATATATATACACTTCTTCTGTTTCTTCTACGCTTTCTTCCCTTGCGTTTTCTGTTGATTTGTGTCTTTTTTTTCCTTTGCAGCTTTCCGGCCTCACCATAACATGCCTTGATAAATGGTGGATTTCACAAATAGGTAGTGGGTGCTATGGCAAGTCAGGAAGCTTCAATCCTTCCTGGGTGGGAAGGCGAAGGTAGTAGTAGGATATCAAGATTTTGAATTATTAACGAATGTGAGATAGAACAGCACAGCGCACCTAAAGTATCATTTGAACTTTAAAAAAAAATCTTCCGGGTATCCTGACAATAAAGAGCAAAAAGAAAAAGACGAAAAAAGAGAAAAGAAAGGGAAGGGGCCAGGTGCTGGGAGTAGAGTCGTGGGAGGCCGATCATCTAAAAACAAAGCACGAAAACATTGAATAAACGAGGAGCAAGGACTAGGAGGAACATATGTCATAGACTGTTCAGTGTTATCAACGTTGACCTTCTTTATGGACTTTCGTCAAAAAACACCAGAAACCCCAACCCCCGCCCCCATACTGTACAACACCGATAGATAAAGGTCATGGATGACGTGCAAATTCAACCGTATAGAGATTTCAAAGATGATTTTTTTTTTTTTTTTTTTTTTTTTTTTTTTCCCTTGTCTCTCAGGATCGTTCATCACTCGTAAACCCGATTTACTTCTCATATTAATTTGAGCCACTTTGTTTTCAATTAATTCTCCAGCATCGATGGGACAATGCGGGTGGCTGTCATAGTCTCTGACTGCATATATAGCCTTAGAAAAAATATGAAGAGCCAAAAAAAAAAAAAAAAAAAAAAAAAAAAAAAGGATTGATCCTTTTGGCGTGGTGGTAAAAGCCTTGCTACAAGATTGCATGTTTAGCTATGCGAATTAGGAACCTGGCCCATATTTTCGGCCAATAAAACTCGAAGAATGAGGTTTCTAGGTATTTAACTCATCAAGCATTTCCAGCTCGAGAATACTCTTCCGATATCGTCACAAGCAAACGCATGCCGCATGCATGAGGTAAAAAACGGTGTCCTACGGCGTTGTGGCTGGATAATACCGAGTAACTAATCAACGCCTGGCCCTCGAGAGCATTTTAAGTTGTAGTGGTACTGTACATCACCGTGTCAACCATCGGATCACTCTTCAACTGCCGCCAATCAAGTTGGCGAAACACCTTACCCCGACAGGACATAGTAGTTTGACCGGGTAATTTCATGGAATACTCATCCCTGGGCAACAGGGGGATATAAGGGCTCCGTTCCGGCGTTTTCGTTTTCGTGCACTGCTTCCGCTTCTGCTTCTTGGACATTGAGCGGCAGGCGAAGGCTCCACTCGAGTTGACGCACCGACACAATGTCACATACGGTGACGCCACCCGCAAATCGGTCAAGGCGATCGAGAAGAGGAGACTCGGTCTTGCAGCAGTATTCCATGAAGCGGGCAAAGTAATCCATTACGATGGAGGATTTGAGGTTTACCATGGCATAGATCCTGCGAAGGTGTGGCATGCCTTCTAGATCGGGAAGGTCCCGTGTCTGGATATGTAGACATGATTTTATTAGCATGGGAAGCTGAAGCTTGGGAAGTAGGAAATTTTCAAGTCGTACAAATAAACCAGGGGGCTGGACATAAGCCAGCTGCTCAAGAAGCGGACAGACAGCCTTGAGTTCAGGGATGGGTAGATGAGAAGGCGAAAGGGGCATGGTCATGGCGAGCATCCGAAGCGAACTGAAATTGCGTCCCAGATGGGGAATAAACTGGTCTACGCTTAGGGAGGTCAATCGAGCTGCTATCTCGTCCCAGGAATCCTGGGAATCCTGGGAACCTGCACGATTCGGAAGAGGTTTACCCTCAAAAGCGAGTGATTCAAGCGAGTGATAATCCTGCCACTCCCCAAGCAGAGTTCCCTGAACAGTCCTGTAAATGTGACGTCGGGAGATTTGAAGATGTTTCAGACACCCGACGTCCACTGCTTTCAAAAAGATTCCTCAATGGAATCAGAGAACCCATGACCGTAATATACCGTACCAAGCAGGTCAAACGACTGTAAACAAAGCTTTTCCGAGGCCTGCACGAATGGTTCAAAAAGCACGAAAGTTGGATCTCCTTCGCCTTCCAACACGCTTTTTGGCGCACAGTCTGGATAGCCAGTTCGGAAAACCAAGTAACCGTGCCATGTTGCCCAATCACCGAAGCGGAGCGCCAACGACTCCAGACTCTTCCGGTGGGTGAAAATGGCGTCTCTCAGGCCTAGAAGTTCGGGTTCCGTACTGGCCTTGATGGAAAGTGACCGGAGAGGACATTGTGATAGAAGGTCCAGTTTCAGGACATCAAGAGGGCAAGAAAGTTTTGTAACACGCGGATCGCCATCGCAAGTAAAGGCAGTTATGTTTTGGGCAGCAAATGCTTCCATGAGGTGGCCCGGGGGAACAGGATTTGAGGCCCAGCTTGCTAAAATCAGCGACTGAACCACTATATAACCGTTTCATCGCGAGGGAGGACATACATAACCTCGTCCAAGGAATGCATTTCGCGAACGCAACCCAACAGAAGATCCATTGCCAGTGATTCACCCCGTTCGAAGACATCTGACTCATTTACGAACAATATCGACTGCTTTGTGATAACCGGACAGAGAGTCTTCCTGTCTCTATACAAACCACGCAGCTGTGTGAGCCAAGCCGGCGAGAACTCCGGTTTCGATCGCGGTCGCAAAGTATTGTCCAACTCAATGATTGTATGTTGGTAAAGCAACCGGGTCGTTTTCTTGTTCAGGGACCGGGATACACACAAGGCAGCACGGTCCCGGAAGCGCGGAATCTATGCTGAGATTTAATACCGCAACGTAATAAAATGGAGCGAAATGAACTGGATGGATATCATACATAGGAGCCTATATGTCAGATAATTTCAATGGGAAGGCTCTCCATGGTCGAGCAAATGGGTCGGCGGCGATGCAACTGTAACTTGGCACACTGGATCTAGGGGGAACCCGTCCCAATGCTCGCGTTGGGGTTCCTCGATAATGATATTGATTCAATTCGGTTCATGCAATAGAGGCTTGCGTGGCGGAGATGCAACTGACTCATTGATCATCCTGGGCTGAGCTTCAGGCTCCAGGTCTGAACTTTCACAGGCCTACCCTAGTTGGGCATCGGACATCGCGAGTTGCCCACAGTGCGGTGCGTGCAATACAGTCATTATTTGAGCTCTGTAGTGGGGGCAGTCACATTCATGACATCAGGTTGGTGTCGAAGAGTGTTGAACTGAGCATGCCACTTCGAGACAACAAACGGAGAGGAATTGTTTCCTTCGAGCCTAGCGGAAAACGCTTTCGGTTGGATGGTTAAAGCGTCCTTTTGGGCCAGAGAGATAGGGTTCCTGGAACAACATCGATGAGCCTCCCCTCCCGCATGCAGACACGGGGTAATGCAATGCTGAGATGTCTGGGTCGATTGAAGCGAATCGTCAACGCAGCTTCTTCCTGCCTGCTTGGCGAGTGCAAGGCATCATATCATATCATCACTGTTGCTGCCTGTGGGTGGTGCCTGAAGCTGGGAGGAGCCCATAAATACGAGCAGGATATCCCTCCTCGGGTGGCATAAAATTAATAACGGGATCGGGTCGCTGATTCTCCTAGCCGATATATCTTGTCCGTTGGTCTGTTAAAAGGAATCCTCTCGACTTTCACTCCTGCCCCTCTTCTGCCCCTCTGCACGCCTGGCAAAAAAAAAAAAGAAAAAAAGAAAAAAAGAAGAAAAAAAAAGAAAAATGTCAGACATCTCAAAAGTTACAATTATCGGAGTAAATTTCCCCTTTGTTATGTCTAAAATTCCCTTCATGTATCTATCTCTTCTCTATCTATATTCCCCCAAACCATAACTATAAACTTTTGAGCCCCAAACCCTAATACCCCCTTACCTCCCTTGTACTTGTTCTCTTTCCCTTCTCCGATTTCCGCCAACTTGACAACAACCCCCACCCACAGGCCGCTGGTCACCTAGGTCAACATATCCTAACTGCTCTGCTCGGCGAGCGCAAGCTCATTACCCAAATCCTCACCCGTATCGATTCAACCTCTTCCTTCCCTGATGACATCCCGGTCGTCAGGGCTGATTTTAGCTCCGTCAACTCCCTCAAGGACGCTTTACGGCGCCAACATGCGATCATCAGCGTAGTGGGGATTCAGGGTGTGTCCGACCAGATCAATGTCATCGATGCTGCTGTTGCTGTCGGTGTGCGCCGCTTCATACCCAGCGAGTTCGGCAATCACCCAGAGTCTGAACACAAGCGATTGCCGGAGATGAGGATGACCCAGCCGGCTAAAATAGCCGTGATGAAGCATCTAGCTGAGAAGGTCGTGGAAACGGCCGGCAGATTCTCGTGGACGGCGATTGCGGTGGGGAACTTTTTCGATTGGGTGCGTATTTGGTTGAATTTTGTACATTTTCGTTTCTCGTTCTTTTCGGGTATATTGACTATATATATGCCAACATTCCTAGCTTTGTTTTTGAGGGGAGAATGTCTTTTGAATATCAAAATTGACGATCCCTCAATTAACCCCCCATCGATAGTCTATTAAACGTTTCCCCGCTTTCGGTTTCGACTTAGCCAACAAGGAAGCCCGAATCTATGATTCAGGCAATGAGCATATCACAGGCGTGCTCATCGACTCCGTCGGCCAGGCTGTCGTCGGCACTTTCCTCAACCCCGTCGAAACGGCAAACAAATTCCTACGCATCAGGTCCCTGGAGACGACGCAGAACGAAATCCTAGCGGCCTTCGAGCAGCTTACGGAATCCAAATGGGCAGTGGAGAGGATCTCGACTCAGGAATTGTATCGAATTGGAAGAGAGAAAATGGCCATGGGAAAAGCAGGGTGGATTCTGGATATTCTCTGTACGCAGATTTTTGCTGATGGTGGGGGTCGATCGGTTGTTGCGACGTGGGAGGATTCGGACAATACATTGGTTGGAGTTCAGGAGGTCGAGTTGCAGGATGTGATTAGGGGAATTGTGGCGGAGAGTCGAGATATGTAGAATCTCAGTGCACAGCAAGTAGATTTGCTGTCATCTTTGGAACTCCCTTGCCGCGTTTGACACTATCATCATGCCTAAGTTCTGTTTATCAATTGTTGGAAGATCTCAAAATAAAATCAAACTTGGCGATGGCGTCTCCACGTCATATCTATCGTCTTCACTATCCATGTTCCCATCGTCGGCTTCATTTACTTTTTCTGGCAATCGTATGAACCAAACCGCCACGAAAATTAGCCCATACAATAGTGTGATTCCAAAATATGGCAATCCAATCCACCCCTTCCCCATCTTCAATCCCAGTGAAAACAATCCAGCCAGTAATGGTGAGCCAACAAAAACGCCGAACATTGAAACCACTGACACCACGGAATATAACCTTGCCATATGCTTGGGTTCAACGTAGGTAGCCACCAAGCTCGCATTTAGGGAACCGAGCCCGGTACCAAGCGTGTAAATCACCAGCCCTGCGATCATGGTGGCAACCGTTGGGGCAAGGCCTAAGCAGATGGCACCAAGCGTGTACATGATGATACTAAATCGGGACAGGATGAGGTCTTTGGTTGCGGTGGTATAGCGCCGGTTTACAGTGAGGTAGCGGGAGACTGTGGGCAACAAGACGAGGAGCAAGAATATGTTGACACCTGCGAAGATGGTAAGGGAGAAATTTGCTGTAGAGAGGGGGATTTCATAACGAGTCGAGACGTATAGAAGAATGATTGACAGCTGCTTACTGCCGATGTTTGCAATAAACAATATCAAGAGGATAAGAGCTGTGGTGCGGTTTGGGATTAAGGATTTGATGGCCGTACGGAGAAGATGGAGACGGTTTTTGAGAGTGGGTTTTGAAAAGCTGTTATGAATGGTGTCAAAGAAATCTTCTACATCCTCGCCACTTGCGTATTCGTCTTCCGAAGTTGACTGTAGATGCGATTTGAGGTCTCTCAAATGAACCGTCTCAGGTATTATTAAAAGCAACGGGAGACTGCAGGTGGCGCATATTGAGCCCAAAAAGAGAGGATTCCAGGGGCTCCCTTTTAGCATCATCCATGATGCTAAGAGAGGGGCCAAAAATTGAGTGATAACGATAGCCAAGGCTATCTGGAAAAATGCCGTTGATCTAGGATGGAGGGCAAGAGTGAGAAGGTGGACGAATTGATGGAATGTGTGAGGAGAAAATGGAGAGGTATTCGTACCTATATCCAGCCTCAACAACATCCGTCATCATTGTCATCAACATGGCTAATGCCACGCCAGCTCCACCCCCTATGAAGAGAGCTGCTGACCCCAGCCACACTGCCCGCAGAGACATGACCCGAGAGAACCAGCATACCAAAAGTACCCAAAATTGACCCAACAGAAGGCCAACCACCGCTAGGGAAAGGACAAATTTCCTTCCGTATTTAACGTTGTCCGCGAGACGGCCGTACGGAATAGAGAGTAAAATGCCTGTGAACCCCCAAAAATGCATCCAGGCGGATAGCAGATCAGTCACAACTAACTTTAAGGTAATTGTTTATTCAAGGGTTAATTGACGGCTCTCTTGCAGAGAGCTATTTCCCACGAAGGAATGAAATTGGACATGAACATGAACATGAATATATCAACTACATACTGGGGAGCGCTTCGAAACTGATCTGCAATCCTTGCACGAAGGCTAGTTCGCCCTGCACCGGTGGGATTTTACACTTGTCCTCTGGAATGTCTTCTAACAATCGATATTGGCCTGGTTCGTGCGTTTCATAATACTTGCGGCAAGCTATAGCCTCGTAGATGCTGGTTTGAGGAGCGACGGAGAGGAAGTTTCCAAAATCAATACAGAATACTATTAGGACACAGAGAAATACGAAAACGACAGGTTTTTCCCTAGTTTTCCGAGGGCGGACTGTTGGCAGGGGCGATTCCGTCCCAAGGAGAGCGTCAGTCTCATCGTCGAGGAGAATATGATCATCAGCAGCCATTGTTGTAAGGAGAAGCACGGATTTGTTTAAGGCAGTTGCGCCATTCAATTGATTGCAGTGAGGAGACAGCTAGCTTTTCCATTGTTGCGACCAAGGAAGGTATTTGTAAGTACCAGATGTGCTGGACCCCTGCGTGTCAACCAAGGCAACACAATTAACAAGTCTCCGAACCAATGGCGCTGACATCATGTTGGATCAAAGCAGGATTAGGTATTTTGAACTGAATTGCGGTGCCCTGGCGAATGGATGCTGTTAGCTGTTTGATCTCCGCTGGGTTGTTGTCAACAATACGTAATTGTCTTCCAAGATTGAAGTAAATTAATTATCTCTGAAGTTTTCTGTGGTTGAGCCTGACTGACTAAGCTCTCATTTCGGGGCCGATTCGGCTCGGCATCTCCGTCAGTTGTTGATTGATAATTTTCGGCCCGAGACCCAAAACCCGGGCATTGTCAAGTCTGATTTCATGTCTTGGCCCAGAGAAGTCCATCAAGAACTCTGTGGACCTGATAATCCGTGTTCCATCACCCTCAGGAGAATCTCGAATTCTCGATGCAATAAATGCCACTGCAATGTAGTTGACTAAGCATAGTTGCAGAATTGGAAGGTTAGTTAGACCCAGAGCAAATGGTTTGTTGAATCCTGTTCATTCTTGAGATGTAAAACTGATGCCTCCTGTCTTAGAGCCATTCAGCCACACCGCATAGAGGATCACCGTTGAGCAAGTCGTAAGGAATAATTGCAAGAGGTATCGGCGGCAAATTGGTTCCCCGTTTTAGCAGTTTGACAACTTTTACTCAAACAAGCATAAAATGCTATGAGCCCGATTCCGCGGTCCCAGCAATTTCTATATACATAACGAGCTATAGTCTGAGATCCAGCAAGCTTCCAAAATAGTAATAACAATGATAAATTAAACACACCCATGATGGGTTAGATGCCTAGATCGCCGAACTTTTCAGAGTTTCGTAGTGCTCTATGTAGCTGCCCTACCTAAACTCAAGACTTCATCAAGTACGTAGACGAAACGTGTGTATAAAGTATTGCTCACAATTCCAATAGATGGGCTGAAAATTGTCTATAAAATTTCGTTCTAAGGAGCTATTGCTGGAAGATTAAAAGACACGGAAATGGAACTGATAGTTCGTGGTTGGTAGCGTACAGCGCCAGTAGAACAGAAGCTGAGAATAATTGGGTTTGGGTGATCCATCGCCATAAAGAAGATAACAGAGAGAGTTTGATTCCATTCCTGCTATCGTTAAGATTCAAGCGGTTTGGCTTTGTGGAGCTGCAAGCCATTGAGTAATCGAAGGGAAATCAACCAGTCCAGAGCACGGATGGCAATCTCTGACCCTCTCCAATGCATGTTCGAGAAGAGGTCGTGGTTCTTGATTCGAACTCGCTCATTCACGGTAAGCACAACCAAAAACTGAAGAGCTCAGCTGTTATAGTCCATGGTAGCGTTTGTCATGTTCTCTGGAAGATCCATAAATCTCGGATACTGCCATCCCAGGCATCCCGTCGTGGAGATTTGGGGAACACCTATGCTCGAAAAAAAGAGCGGCCTGCACAGTATCAACAAAGACGAGCATAAGGCAGTGTGAGTAAGAAGCAGTTTTCTGGTCTTTATATGATCCGATGGCTTGTTGACGCGGCTATAAATAGTGCTGGGTGTACCGCCGAAAAATGTGGCCAAGTCATCCACCACCACCAACAAACCACCAACAAACCACCACCACCACCAGCCATCCGTTGCACCACCAACTTCTATCCGCAGTTGGACCGGCAGCTCTCCACTCTCGCATCCTACATAGCTTCCGACCGACCAGCTCGACTCTTACCTACTCTCTCGCGCCTATTTGCTCCACCCTTTTGGCTGCGCTCCCAAAAGCTTTCCGTACCGCATTCGCTCCTATTGGCTCGTTCGTTAAGCTAGCTTGTCCAAGCACCCTTCGCACATTCGGTCATCTGGTCATATCAATACGGAGTACACTCGACTACGGTTACCTACTTAGACAGGATTGCTCAAGGACGCCTTTTACGGTCGGACAGCGGAATATCTTTGATATCGAGTATACGTTCAGGTTGCATTCCAGCTATCCTCCAGTTCTGACGTAAATATTTATTTACCCACACATACCACACCAAACTTTAAAAAGCCTTTACAACCGCGCACAACAGCATCATGTCTGGCGAAGCTTGGCTCTACTTGTTGGCGGTACTGATAAATGCCGTCAACCTCTTTTTACAAGTTTTCTTTACGATCATGTACAGCGATTTGGAATGGTGAGTCGGCGCATTCTCCCAATCGATTCATCTACGGCGTGTCCCCTTCTGTCCCCTTCTGGTAGATGGGAGCTTTAAGAGCTGTCTATGATGAATATGAATCAAATATTTCTAACCAGCTTCTACGCGGATGCTGTAGTGATTACATTAACCCCATCGACCTTTGCAACCGGCTCAACGCATATATCGTCCCAGAAGCCGCTGTTCATGCATTCCTGACGATCCTCTTCGTTGTTAATGGATACTGGCTGGCTATAATTCTGAACCTCCCGCTACTGGCGTTCAATGCGAAGAAGTATGTTCAACTTTTTTTTGGGGTGGAGGATAGTTGTAGATTATATAAGGCACACAATCCACTAACTTGTCCTGAATCCTGCAGGATATTCGATAACCAGCATCTTTTGGATGCTACTGAGATCTTCCGGAAGCTCAATGTTCATAAAAAGGTTTCACTTGCACCTCCGTTCTCCTCCGCTTTCCGGCATCGGATGACTAATATTGCTCTTCTCGCTCGCAGGAATCTTTTATCAAACTTGGGTTCCACCTGATCATGTTCTTCTTCTATCTCTACAGTATGATTGTCGCCCTGATCCAAGACGAATCACATTGACTACGTGAGAAAGCTGGGAACGCGATGCGGGACGGCCGTCCGCACGGCCTGTAACCTCGCAACTACCAAGCAGCTACAACCCCAGGTCAACAATAATACGAGCCGACCAACTTTGAAAATCTGGAATAGAACAGTGGACATTTATTTGCGCAATAATTGTCCATCCCACCACCTTACAACCCACATATTCGACCCATGACGTGTTATTTTTTTGTCTTTATGTTTTCAATTTTTTTCTTTTTTCTTTTCATCTTGCCTCTTTTGTCTTTGCGAACAGCGATTGACTATTGATAGAGCTGAGTGAATTCGGTAACGTTTTTCGTTTTGATTTTTGTTTCTCTACTTACATTTGGGAGGATTGATCTCCATATGTGATATGGATTGGGAAATGAGAAATGATTCTGTATTAGTGTTTAATTATGTTGTTACTTACAATTTCCAACTCTTTTATCTCTCCTTAATGCTGGGCTAACAGACATGAGTGGAGGGACGCATGTGGCAGATGGGCACAAAGTGTACGAATTTCGAGGTGTATGCAAATGCAGGTGTCGGAGTCTACATCTTTTTCTTTCTTATTGCTATTTACCTGCCAACCCTTGTGTATATACGCCTGAGGCACTAATGAAGAGCGTATGATACGCGCTCTTTTCCATTGCATTTGCTTATGTTTCGGTACGTTGGGGCTGCGTTGCTGTTCTCTTGTTTAACTCCTTTTCTGCAGGTATTGAAACATACTTGGTGGCAGACATGACAAGCTGTACCCTAAAATTCAATCTGGGGTGTGTTATTTTCCGTTATTCCTAGTGGCGTTGAAGTGATCTATTCTTTTCATTATCCGAGCCTTTGAAGCCCACTGGAGGTTTGATATTGGCTGCACATTTGGTCTGTTCAGGTAACCGTAAAATTTGACCATCTTCAATCGCAACGAACCATTTTCATCTTCCTGCATTCATATCAACTTGTTGCGCAGCAGAAATAGACGCATAGCTATGGCTTCTCTTCTGGGTGCCAATTATGAATCTTCCAGCGACGATGAAGTTAAACAAAATGTGCCAGTCAAGTCAACACCAGCTCCCGTCCCAGCTTCAGGGATCGTCGCAGCACCTGACGTCTCCATAGAGGTTTGGTCCCTACATTCTCTCCCCTCTGGGCAATGTACATGGCGGAATATAGTGTGCGCCATTCCGATGTGTTTTCATAAGCTCATATATTCTACAGGATTCTTCGCGCTTACAGCTGATGCTTGCAAAATCGACCGACACCGCCTTAACTTACAACGCCACCTATGATGACCTATCACGACCAACTTTGGGACCGGAAAATCCCTTCCGCTCCGCTCATGGGGGTAACGCGCTGAAGAGGAAAAACGTATTAACGGGGCATGCGGAAGAAACTTTGATAAGCGAGGCGACGTTTAATTCTCAGCATCGAACATTTCAGGCCTTTGGATACACACAGGATCCAAGTGTCCCTGGGGCATTTGTCGGGGATTTGGAGGCCGCTGCACGTCTGGGGGGTAAAAATGTGGTGCAAATGCGTCCTTCCAAGGAGGCCAGCGCTGCATTGAGGAGGAAGAGGCAAAAGAAAGGGGATTCTAGTATCGTCGAAGGAGAAGGCGCATATCTCGGCCCTTGGGCGAGATACGAGGATGATGATCTCATGTACGAGGAAGAATTGGACCTAGCCGGTCGGGAACTGGCCAGCGATGAGGAATATATTGACGAAGCGATTGTGCCGTCGAATGTACCAGCTATGGATAAAAAGGCTACGGCGTACAAGGAAGATACGTCCCATACCGAAACGACAGAATTTCATGGTTCGGAGCAGTTCGATTATCAAGGAAGGACATACATGCACGTTCCCCAGGATCTGGACATCGACCTCAAAAAGGAGGTGGGCAGTATCAAAAACTACGTACCCAAAAAGCTGGTCCATACTTGGAAATCACACACAAAACCCATTACTTCCTTGCGCTTCTTCCCCAACTCAGGACACCTCCTCCTCTCCTCCTCTGCCGATTCGAAAATTAAAATATGGGATGCGTACCACTCCCGAGAGCTTCTGCGGACATATTCCGGCCATTCCAACGCAGTCACCGACACCACCTTCCACCCAACGGGCACCACTTTTCTCTCAGGCTCATACGACCGCCAAATCAAGCTCTGGGACACAGAGTACGGCAAGTGTATCTCCCGCTTCTCAACGGGAAAAACACCACACGTCATCCGCTTCAACCCAGACCCAGATCACTCCCATGAATTCCTCGCTGGTATGTCCGATAAAAAAATCATCCAATTCGACACCCGCACCGGCGCCATCACGCAAGAATACGACCACCATCTCGCCGCCGTCAACACACTTACTTTTGTCGATAACAACCGCCGCTTCATCTCCACCTCAGACGACAAATCGCTGCGTGCGTGGGAATACAACATCCCCGTCCCCATCAAGTTCATCGCGGAGCCGTATCTGTACGCACTCGTGCGTGCAGCTCCCCATCCCAATGGCAAATACGTCGCCTTCCAGTCCGGCGACAACCAGATCGTCGTGTACGCCTCCACGGACAAGTTCCGCCAGAATCGCAAGAAGAGTTTCCGTGGGCATAACAATGCTGGATACGCGATCGATGTGGCTATCAGTCCTGATGGGCAGTTCGTCACGTCGGGTGATAGTGGTGGATACGTGTGTTTCTGGGATTGGAAGACAGGGAAGATGTGGCATAAGATCATGGCTGGAGGGAAAGAAGGGGCGGCGATTACATGTGTGGAATGGCATCCGCAGGAGACTAGCAAGGTTGCGACGGCTGGACTGGAGGGCGTTATTAAGTATTGGGATTAAGATTGGATTAGACTGGGTTGTAATGGGCTCTTTTTTTTTTTTTTTGTTCGTTTTATTTATTTTACTTGTCTATCCTCCGGCATACTTCCTTTTTTATCAAGGCTGTGAATGGTTAAGGGGTGACGGAGTTCTGAATATTCTTTAGTCTTACTACTACCCATTGTGCCATGATACATATATTGGAACACTAATATTACCGAGATCATAAAATAGCAAAAAAGGAAGAGATATATATTCACAGTCAATTTTTCTTTTTTACAAAGGCAAGTAAGCCATAACCTATATGTACTTGTAGACTTGATAAAACATGCATTTAGTTTCATTTGGCGGATATCATCATAGTCGCATTAATACAATGTTTCCAAAAGGTCCAATGGGCGGCCATCAGATGACGAAACATCACTGTAAATGAAACAAAATGAAGACAATTTCATGCGTTTTGTCATTTGGCCATGCGTTGATAATTCTAATTTTTCGCACAAGTAACTTAAATAAGGGGAAAAAAAAAATGGAATCCGTTCAACCATCCACTTATGCATACTCAATTCCATATCCCTCGGTCTTTCCACGAAGAAATAGTATTTCATCGTGCTGTTCGCTTCAATTGTAAGGAAAAACATTGATGAGCCGCTTTGCTCAACACACCCAGTCAACAATTTTCCTATATATTTACCAGGATGCTCGCTTCCCATTTTCAGTATCAACTTGCCGGAAAGAAGATATATGGATATATATTACCAGCTTAAAAGCTGGTCATGTCAATCCAGCTGGCTACAAATCCCAACCGCCGGCCCCTCTCACCTTGCATCCTCATCACAAACTCATCAAAATTCAACTTGGCCCCCGATCCACCACGTGCCTTTGCTTCCCGCTCAACTTGGTTAAGCCTGCTCCACCGCGCGAGCGTTTTTGGGGATGGTGGAAGTGGAGGTGAAGGCGGGTTGGGTTGCGTGTTAGTTTCGTCCAGCGAGGACGAGGAGGATGGCGACGGCGGGGAAAAGAGGGAGACGGAGGAATGGGAACGGTCGACATCGCCAGCGGTAGAAGTGAGTTGTTGTCGGCGTGGAGACGAGGAGGCAGATTGATGAAACCGGAGGCGGAGAGGTAGGGACTGGTTTCTGGATGGCGTGGAACGGGGTCGCGAGAGGGATTGCTGCTGCTGCTGCTGCTGCTGCTGCTGCTGCTGTGGCCGCTGTTGGACAGATACAGAGGTGGAGGTGGAGGCGGATTCGTAGACGGGCGATTGCTCGAATACTGAGTGTTCGTAAGGAAGGGTGGTGGAACTGGAGACTTCAGTTATATGGAGGCTGCGACCTGATGCCGCTCTGTCAGGCCGGTTTTGAGGAAGAGTTGGGTCTGGAGGCGTGGGGGCGCTCTCTGCTACCTCGTATTCTTCCTCCTCTCCATATTCAGTATATCCTAATCCTTCGGGTACCGGAGGGAAGGGTTCCAGATCTGAGTCGTTAGGGCGGTTTTGAGGGAGGGTAGGATCTAGCATATTATAACGTTCGGAAACTCTTTCAGGCTGGCCGGTGATATCTTCTTCGCCTGGGGATGATAGGGAGAGGCCTGGGATACCTCCGCCGCACGAGGATGGGTGATCGACATCGTCTAGTAATTGCCCGAGAGGTTCCTCCCTCGGGCGTTCTGACGAGTTTACATTGCCTTCCCTTTCTCCTTGACCGGGTTCCCCCGTTTGCTTGTCGGTATCAATGCCCTGTCGAAGATAATGGTTTTTAGGGAGTGATGCCGTAAAGTTATTGATCTCCTTCGCCCATCGTTGTCTCTCAGCCTTCGTCCGACGTGCCTCCATAAGTAGATTTTCTTTTGGCTTGAATATGAGATCGAGAAGCTCATTGAGACCTTGCTGGGTAACCTGATATAGAACCTCCTTTCCGACATCCTTTTCTGCTTCAGGGACCTCGAATCCACCCCAACGTTCCGCTACAGGGACGCTACGGGATGACGTTGACAGATTCGACCTTGTCTCGTACTCATTGTCCGTGATGTCATCCTGGAAGCGAACCTTGGATGATGATCTCGACCGTGGAGTAGGTGGGTGCGACTCTTCTTGTACTCGTTGTGGAAGATCTTCGACACCCTCGTGGAAATCCTCCGCGTCACGGTATCCCGCAGGAGCAATGGCGCCATCTTCCTCGTCTGTATAGAACGCCCGCCTGGCCCATCTTTCATCGATTCCTTCTCTCCTGATCCGTTGCATCCGTTCGCGATCTGCCTCATCAATCCTCTGCATTGCACAAGCAGCGATCCTAGCCCTATCAACTGGATCTGTAATTTCTTCCAAGGGTATATAGCTGCCTAACGCATTAACTACGTCCTCTGACCGGACCTGCTCATTAGGCCATTCGCTGTAGCTGCCCAGGTACGAATCAGAGTCATTCCCTCCATTATCTTCTTCATCGCCATACTCTTCCTCATTATTATCTCCACGGGCATGTCGATTGCGTCTACGAGGCCGAGTAAATGGAGGGTCGGGGAGTCGCAATCTAGAGGTGAAGAGGGGGCGTGTCCGACCAAACCTTTCCCTAACAGCAGCATCTGCAATAATTGCATTCCTATCACCTGTGTCATCCCCATCTTCTCGCAAAACGCCGGCATTATCGATGATTTCCATATCGCCTTGCAAGTTCGTGCGCTTGCCTTCGCCAATTCTCGAAGGTTCTCCAGGTGGGATATTGCCCGGGAATGCAGAAGAAATAGGCTGGCTCCCAAGTATGATATCTCTCGTTCCGCCTTCCAAAAAGTCATCTTCCATACCAGCTACCATGTCCCTAGTCAACTCTCTACTCAGCGTATAATAAGCGCGGAATATTCGAAGGAAGTCCTTTCTTTCCACATAACCATCTCTGTCAATGTCATACCCTTCAAATATTCGCCTAAGCCTCTCATGAACACTCTTATTACTGAAACTTGCCAGTCCTTTCAAAAATTCTTCAAACCCGATCAAATTATCTCCATTGGTATCATAGAAAGAAAACATCCGATCGTATATAAGGCTTGGTGGCGGAGGCCGGATCGACGTATTTGGCACAAAACATCGATCAAATGTTTTCCGATCGATCGCCATATTAAGCTTGTTTGGATCATCGACCCACTCAACATTTGCCAGACAGCGGAACTGATCCCATAGCGCATCCAACTCTGTATTCTCAAAATTCGTCTCTTTCATAAGCCTCTTTGCGAGATTTCGTGGCAGACTACGTGGCAGCATAGCTGGCTTCCCCGGATACCAAACCGGCTGGGGTTGTCGCGGGTTACCTAGGAACGGAGCGGGAATACGGACTTTATAAAATAAATGTGTTTTGATATGAACCTGCATTGCCTCGCATGTTTCGCAGAGATCGTAGTCAATACAGTTGGCACATCGATATCTTATTCCCTGAATTGGCATCGCCCCACAGCTATTGCACGTTACTCCCCGATGAATATAGCCATCCCGCCGCGCTTGATCCTCAGCAATATGGTATAGCAGGTTGAGCAAGTTCTGGCCCTCGCGGGTGGGTGTGCCATCGTCATTGCCATCTCGCCATGAAAAGATGCTTTGGTCATCCACGGTTGTTGCAGCTTGATCAGAAGTTTGTACAGTTTGCGACGGCACTGGAGGGTCAAGGACGCTCGTTCCGGGGCTTGTCAGGCGTATTGATTCGCCATTCAGTCTCCGCCGCCGTAGCTCCTCGCCAAATTGATCGGACTCATTGAATCTCGTGAGGGCAGCCGTGATGTTCTCCCCGGAAAGACCACGATCTAGCAACTCAGTTGACAGATATTGCCACTCACCCGTTTCAAAGAGAATAGTATGTGACGACCGGAATTCCATCGCTAGGAAGTTATCAAGCAGGGCATTCTCGATGACGGATCGTATGTATTGTGCGTGCTCCCGCGTAGATTCAAGCTCTTCCTGAATCTGCTCGACAGATGGCAACTGTGATGGGATGAGGCGACACTCAACAGAACGGCCACCATCTACCTGCATTCGGAATGTCCCGTAAGCTTGCCCTGATCTTTCCAGCAGATCCAATGCTTGTATAGGTCCTGAGAAGTCATTAGACACGCGCGACTCGCCGCTGGGAAGTGAGATGCCCCCGCGCCGCCGTGTACCTCTCCTACGGACTGCATTGCGGCGGTGCAGAGGTGGAGGAGACTGGGAAGAGGCGTAACGGCGATGAGCATAGAAGATAGCGTATGCGGCCACTACACCTGTCAAGAGATAAATTGCCGGGCGAAACTGCGTAAGAGATGTTGGACGTGAAGATGTGTCAGAAAACATCTTGAACCAAAGGAGGTGTGTCGGAATGCGGAGCTTGTCAGAAAGCGAGCATCACCGCGATCCACGAGCGTCAATACAAAAGAGCAATGACAACGGTGTGGAACGGTCTAAAAGACATGTTGCATGCGGATCGAGTGACTTAACAGCCTTCCAGGTTTCAGAAGCTATAGAAACTAGTTGATTTGTTGCTTGTCTGAGCAGGGAAGACCAGCTTGGGTTTTAAAAAAAACTTATTGCCGATTCGGGAAGAGGCCGCGAAATAAGCGCGCGGTAATTAACTCACTTGTATCCCCTTGAAATTACTATTTCCCCCGTACACAGGTATTGTTCCAAGATTCTTGACTCTTTCATACAAATATCTGCGGCGTACACTAATTCAACTTGTAGTATCTATCAACCCAGTGCTCTTCTGGTTGAACATATTTAAATCGAAAATATATCAGAGTATAACGACGCCTTATAAATAGATAGGAACCGATACCAAGAGGGTGCTTTCCCAATGTTGAGCAATGACGCACATTACATGGGGATTTAGACTCCTGCTATGCATAATAAGCCTTGTAACTAAGGTTCTAAATCATTCGAAACCAGAAATTTTGTTGGGTAGATAAAAAAGCAATCGATGAGGGCAGCGGGGGGGGGGGGGGGGCAGCATCTGTTTTGTACGACCAAACACCCGAAAGGGGAAATCAATTGGGATTCTTTCAAAACCGAGGACGTAGTGGCAAAAATGAGGCCGGAAACATAACGCAAACATGGGGATATCCATTCTAGTAGAATTTGAAGCAAATTTGTTAGACATAATGAATTTTGAAAAGGGAACTCTCCAAATTCCTTTCATCACTTCTTTAAATCAACGACTGAGAGCTTTTTCCCGGATGAAAAGTGCAGAGATCGTCGTAAAAAAGACAACGACGATCGAAAGGCCAAATGCATGATTCGTGGCGATTCCATAACAATCTCTCACGATTCTACTGGTCTGTGGATCCAGGGTATTGATAAAATCTAGGCTTTGGCGTACGCCGTTAACAATCTTGTCGATATCCTTATTGTCACCGAGAGCAGAGCGCAGGCCACTTCGTAAGGACTGCTGGACGATTGTAGATGCGAACGAAAGTCCTATTACTGATCCGAGTGATCGAAAAAGATAAGAGCATGCGGTTGCTACTGCTAGGTCCTGTGGAGATGAGCACGCGACTAGACTTATGTTAGATTATGAGCGCAGCATAGATTATGTTGTCATCGAACGAGAGATAGAATGTCAGAGGAAATGTACTTACTCAAAGCAATCAGCGTAGTGGTAATTCCAGTTCCGCTTCCCAATGCAGCTATGGTTATGCCAGTGATGATTCCGACAGTGTTACGAACGAAGCCACCAGACCAAAGGAATATGTTGACAATTCCGATAGGTAGAAGAACATAGGCTGCAAAGGTGAGCCAGAAATATTTGCCCGTGTTCTTCATTACGATGCCGCCAAACAGTGAACCAATGACACCAGCTATGATGGAGGGAAGAAGTCTGAGGCCTGCTCCAGTGGCAGAAACACCATCTGTAGCCTGGAAATATAGAGGAAAGTAAAATAGAACACCCGTATATCCGGCGAAACTGAAAAAGTTGCATGCATAGCAGGCAAACAGATTCCGATCAAAGATGATATGGCTCGGCGCAAAAGGCTCAGATGCTATCCAAATTTCGACGCAGAGGAAAAGAGCAAATAGAACGATTGACAGGACCATAGACACGATGGCTATTGGGATGAACCATGAAACGTTACTACCCCTATCAGCTCCAAGGAGGAAGGAGAATACTGCTCCGACCAGGACTATCGCCCCCAGGAAATCTATTCGGCGGAGCTTTTCCCGCCAATGTGACTTCTCTTGCGCAGGGAGATGTAATGTAAACGCAACAGATATAAATGCCAGAAGACATAAAGGTGCCTGCAGAATGAACGCCCTGTAGTGGAACTAATGAGATCATGTAATGCATATCTCCGCGTTGGGGGAAGCGTCGACACTTACCAACGCCAGCCAATGTAATCAGCCAAAATGCCGCCTGTTTCAAAGTCAGCATCATAACACCGATTGAGTTTACAGAATATGGGACTTTAAAGGACAAGATGATCTACCCAGAGGTGCCCCAATCGCACTCCCAGTCGCCCATATGATGTTAATGACACCTTGCCAGACACCTCGGTCGCGGAGGGGAACAACTTCGCTCATAATAATGCTCACGACAGTCGACATTCCCCCGCCTCCAAGACCTTGGAATACCTAAGAATATCAGTTAGTTTTCGCCATTGCGGTACTACCCAATACAGGCAAACGACATACTCTGGCCGCAATCAACTCCCCAATATTCCTCGCAAGTCCGCAGGCCACACACCCAACCCCAAAGACACAATAGGCAAATAGAAGACATGTTTTACGGCCGAATATGTCACTCAGACGGCCGTAGAGAGGCTGGAAGGAGGTCAGGGTCAGAAAATACGAAGTTGCAATCCAACTGGTCAGGTTCAAAGCCTTCAGGTCGCTTCCAATTTTCCCATAGCTGGACACAATGATAGTTTGGTCCGCTGCGCCAAGGAACACCTATAGAAGAATTAATGGATTATCGCTTTCGTTGGCTGGTGAACTTCGGAAACACATTTGATGGGAAGGGGAAACTGGAGAGAGTCGCATGTACTGTACCCCAATCGAAATAGCTGGCACGATATATTTTAATTTCTTCTGTGCGTCTGGGGGGCCGGTGAATTGGGCCTCGCGAGCTGCATCGATCCCATTGTGGCCCACATCCTCCTCATCATGGCGTTCGACAACATACTCTCCACTAGGCGGTTTGGAGTTTTCATTGTCGCCGAGCAAAGGGGATGTTTCCGATGGTTGAGAGCATCCTTTACCGGAAGCAAATGTGTGATTCCTCATGCTATCATAATCCCACAAGACGAACTCGGATTTTATATAGATTTTTGAATTTTTATCATTATTTACGATTGATTTTTTTTTTTTTTTTTTTGCTCTTTCAACGAAAAATTCTCTGGCTATGACTCAGTGCGGTTTTTCCCTGGAGAGGTCCAAAACGCCAAAAATGGGGCGGGATCACGTGGCGGCTCGCAATGACAAATTGTTTATGCCTTCTGCTGCATGGCAAAGATGGTGATTCTGCTCTTTTGCACCAGTAACTATATAATCTCTGTATTGGATGATTACCAGTAAGAATCATCACCATCCCCTTTTTCTTGAGCACAGCTGGAATTTCATCCGCAGAAAATCCGTTATCTTATGATTCAACTTTGAAGCGCTGGCTCTTGAGACAACGAGATTATGATGAAACTGACCTTCAAATAGTATGATCAGTATCGACAAGATCATTGAAATAGATGGATCTAATGGGAGCATTACATCTACTTGATTTTGGGGCTATTTTGTATATAAATCATGGTATAACATGTCTAGAGGGAGTGTAATTCGCAATCCCTGAAAATTTGTATGGGTTACCCCTTTATTTTCTTGGAATATTCATGCTAATGGTCAAATACACCGCACTCGAAACAAGAAGCGAAACAAACAACCAAGTGATTTACGGATTAGAAGAGAGAGAGAGAGAGAGAGAGAGAGAGAAGAGGAAATGGCTTGACCAATATCATCCATGACCACATGGCATTTTTTTTTTTTAAATGTGTGGTAATACCACGTGAACAAGACGATCTTTGGAAAGGTATCACGTTCTCTCTCCGTCAACAGCAGGCCTAGGGATAGCGCCGCCGGGAGAGTCCGGCAATCTAGCTGTAAGCACTTCAACACCATCCTCCGTCACTAGCAACGTGTGTTCGAATTGAGCGGACTGGAGTCCATCCGCGGTAACGCTAGTCCAGTTATCCGGCCAAGTCTTATCTCGGTATGTTCCCAAGTTAATCATAGGTTCTATTGTAAAACACATGCCGGCCTTCGCTTGTCCAACCGTCTTACTCTTCCCATAGTGCGGAATGCTGGGCGCTGTGTGGAAAAGTTGGTTGATGCCATGCCCGCAATAACTCCGAACCACGCTGCAATTGTTGCTCTTTGCGTGTTTCTCAATAACGTTTCCTGGGTCTCGAAATAGCATGCCCGGCTTCACTAATTCAATTGATTTGTCCAGACATTCTCTTGCGGTTTCTACCACCCGAACAAGGTCTGGGTTTGCGCGGGCCTTTTCTCCGACGTAGTAGGTCTCGTTCAGGTCGCCATGGAAACCCTCATGGTAGAGTGTGACGTCAATATTTACAATATCCCCATCCTCCAATGGCCGTTGGTCAGGAATGCCGTGGCAGATAACCTCATTGACGGACGTGCAGACGGACTTGGGGAAATGGACATAGTTAAGTGGCGACGGGTACGACTAGATTGTTTATCAGCTGAGCACACATGTTAAGGGAACGAAAATATTTTTCTCCCGCCGACCTTTCGTTCCAAGCAAGCCCGATGGACAACCTCATCAATGTGGTCGGTCGTAACACCAGGTTTGATTTCGCGCGCAGCGATATCCAGCACTTCTCGCGCCAGACGGCATACTTTCCTCATTCCGTCCTGCTCCTTCGGACTAAGTATTGTGATGTTATGTCGACCGACATGTTTCTGTTCTGAGCGAGGAATGCCGTCACTGGCATAGTCAGGGTGGGGGATTGAGTCCGGGACACTTTTTTGGGGGGAAAGAGGGTATACGGGTCTTAAGCTCCCGGTGAACGAATAGGTTGGAAACGGGTTGAAATGACCGGTAGCTGGATCTAGTTCAGACACTATTTTGGGAGGGAAAAGATTGCTTAGAAAATTACTCTTCTTGTGAACAGACTTATGCTCGCTCTACGCAAAAAAAAAAATAAAATCCAGTTGTCAGTTCTTCATTCTGTGCAAATGAATCTCACTGATCTTCTCGACCTACCCAGCTTTTCTTAAAGCAGTCTTGCGAACAGAAACGGCTCTCGACTCCAATCTTCAGGCATGTTGGACACCGTAAGCTACCGGCATCGTTGATGCAATCCAACCCTATGCACCTTTTCGAGTCTAGTTGTTCGGACGCCATCGTGGCTGACGGGGTCTCGGAACAAGAGATGGGAGACGTGGTATAAGCGGCGTTCTTCTGGGCTTTTGGTGAGGAACCCGGCAATCGACACCAAAACGAGGATGGTTGAAGGTCTGTGATAAATATCTATTTTATATATTTTATAGGTATCAAGCAACCAGAAAGTGGATAGGTTACTTGGGCCTGGAATAATGCTCCGGAATTTTTTTTTTTTTTGGGGGGGGGGGGGGGGAATGGTCAACATAGAACTCTGTCAAGTATAGCCGCGACAGACGCGGAACGGCGCACAGTCACGTGGATTTACTAATGTAAGCCCCCCGAAGAACACGGGACGTTTCGTCCTGGTCCCGGCTCTTAAAGCCCCTGATAGCGCGGATATAAGTTCTGATCTAAAGGGCGGGGGGGGTGCTGAGTGATGACTCTCTAATTCAGTCGTGGAGCAGCCCATTCTCTTCCCTCACGTCCTTTCCTTCTGGCGCTTCCCATTTCACCCAACGGCGGTAATGGCGGCAACAAAAGAAAAGATAGTGATCGTCGGGGCAGGACCAGTCGGATCTCTTGCCGCGCTGTATTCCGCCAGTCGGGGTGACGATGTGGAGGTCTACGAACTTCGTGCAGGTATGTGCGACGCTCTTCTCGCTGGTGTCACATCGCTTTCCATGCAAGTGTGGTGAGGGCTGTCACATGAGTTAAGATCGCAGTCCTCCCACCTTGATAATCAGTGTTACACCGAAGTTTTCATCTCAAATTGGGCTTTCTTTCTTTCTTTCTTTTTTTTTTTTTTTTTCCCCGCAGGTTTGGTTGTATATATCTGCAGGAAGATATGTTTTGTTTACTATGCCAGCTCGGTTTTGCCGTCATTGAAGACTTATTATTAATTTAATCGTTAATATCCATAGATCTCCGCAATGCTTCGACGACCCCCCTGAATTTCACCAAGTCCATCAATCTAGCCATCTCAGAACGGGGAATCAATTCCATGAAGCAGACCAATCGGCCGGGGTTCATAAATGCGGTTATGGACGAAACCATCCCCATGCGTGGTCGCATGGTTCATAGGAAGGACAAGTCCGGCAAGCTGACAGAAGAGCCACAGCCGTATGATGTTCATGGCAGGGTAGGGCAAAAAAACACATAGTCCGCGTCATCCCGAGTAATTAAAACTACCGAAGCGTCCATCCCTCGCTGATATTCCCTAGCATATAAACTCCATTGACCGCGGCCGGCTTAACGAACTCCTCCTCGACGAGCTCGAGAAATGCCCAAATGTAAAGCTCTTCTTCAACCACAAGCTGACCGGCGCGGATTTCAAAAATAAGAAAGCTTGGTTCGAGCTTAGGAAGCCTGAAAACGCTGCAGGGTCAGCAGCCACCAGCACGACACAGGACGGCAAGCCAATTGCCTTCACGCGAGCACCAGAGATCGAAATCACCTTCGACTTCCTTATCGGCGCCGATGGCTCGCACTCTGCCACCAGATACCACCTGATGAAATATGCACGCATGAACTATCAGCAAGAATACGCTGATGTACAGTGGTGTGAGTTCCAAATCAAGCCAACGGCAGACACCAATGATTTCGCAATCTCGCCAAACCACCTCCATATCTGGCCTGGGAGAGAGTTCATGTTCATCGCGCTCCCATCGCCGGATAAAACCTTCACATGCACCTTTTTTGCATCCGAAGCCCACTTCACTGCGCTGGAAAACGCGCCGGAAACCATCGTGGGATTCTTCAACAAGCATTTTCCCGGCGTGTCCCCGGAACTTATTCCACCAAATTCACTCCAAGAGCAGTTCAATTCGAACCCGCACCTGCCACTTATCAGCATAAAATGCTCGCCACACCATTTCGACTCCAGCGTCGTGGTAATCGGCGATGCCGCCCACGCCATGCTGCCATTCTACGGCCAGGGACTGAACGCAGGGTTCGAAGACGTGCGCATCCTCTTCGATTTCCTCGATGAGTATGGTGTGTACAACGCCTCCACCACCCCGCCTCATGGGCAGCAAGAAAGACGCGCCGCTGCTCTGGCGGCATACACAAAACATCGCACGCCAGACGCACATGCCATCAACTACCTGTCACTCCACAACTACATTGAGATGCGTTGGGGCGTGACGTCGCCGCTTTACTTGATGCGCAAATCAGTTGAAGAGATGCTCGACCGTCGCCTACCGTTTCTGGGATGGTCAACCCAGTATTCATGTGTCAGCTTTAGCAATCAACCTTATTCAACGATCGTGCGGAAGGCGAGGCGACAGGGTCTAGTTTTAACCAGTATTTTGGCGGTTATGTTGTCATCTGCTTTAGGGCTTGGTGGGTTTTTCTGCTGGAAAGGAATGTGGTTGACGCGATTGGAAAGGCTGATGAAGGCTTTCGGCAAACGAGCTTCGTAAACAGCGAGAATTTGTTTTCTTTTTCATGTTGGGGTTATGTGACACGCCTGTTGCGCTCTGTTGACATTGTAGATATTTTTGAAGAACCCAGCAACTTTGCTACCCCTCCGATACCATTGATGCCCGAAGAAATTTATTTTGTGTTAGCTCCACACTCAGATATTGATATTAATGGCTAACCTTGACACGGGATAATAGTAACCATAATAAAAGAAGGAGAAGATAAACTCCAGAACAAGTCAAGTGTCGATCCAAAAAGAGAAAGGAAAACGATAAAATTCAAACATAACAATACAGTATGTATATACTATATGTAACACAAATACAAAGAGTACTTATAAAGCCGAAGTATATCCAAAGCAAGCAAAGCCAAAAGAAGATAAGAGCCAACGGAGGAGGCGCAAGGAACTTGAACAGAAACGGCCTTGGAACGTGAAGAAAAAAAAAAAAAAAAAAAAAAAATTCAATGCAAAGCTGTTTACGCGTGGGAAAATAAATGAAAACAATAGAAGTGCAAAAAGGAGAAGAGAGGCAGAAAAATTGCAAAACAATTGGTTAAGTAGACAGGTGTTCTTCAACTGGCTCTTGTCTCCAGTTGAGATACGTATATAATGGGGTATATATATCTTTTGCCTAAAATTTATGGCGAAAAAAACTCAACAAGGGTAAACTTGTTTCTCTGGATCACCAGAAAATAAAACAACAAAGGGCATGTGAGAATGGAAAAAGGTCAGCTCAGCAGAAATAAAGCCGGCAAGATAATTAGAAATGTAACTCCAACTGATTCAGCACAACGTCAGAAGAGAATAAGATTATGTGGTAGAACAGAGTATTGGCTTTGCCCATGTCGCGAGCCCAGGACACAGAAGAAGGCTAGAAAAAAGGTCATTTTGGCCGGAATGGGAACGATTTCTTGGGCCGCAGCTATGGTCCCCATTGCCCTAGGAGGTGAAAGCAGAAAGTGTAGTTTTCATGTGAGATCGGTTGACTCCGCTGTGTGGCATGATAAGAGAGACGGCAAATCCACGGAAACGTCAGGGCCTTGTCAAAATGTGGCTAGTCGGCTTCAAACATCAGAAAAAAAGAGAAACAAAAAAACCTTTATGAAGTGATCACAACGCCCGGCGGCCATTTTTTGCCAGGTGGTCAAAGGACAATATATTTTGGGTGTGAGATGGCTTGACCGCACGGTATGGATCCTTCGGTAAAATGATGAAGTATATCAGAAACCGAGTCCGCAGCCCTGGTTTCTTCATTTTCCTTAGGATTTTGCTGTATTTCATGGCTTGGCTAACGCTCCTCCGAGATGACTTCGTCGTTCATGAATTAGAATTTCAGTTCGTGAATATAGTTGGTCTAAAAATTCCATGGCGGAGGCATCCTTGAGAATTTTTGCAACCTGAGTTCCCGCAGATATCAGCTGGAGAATGTTCCTATCATCTTTCACTGGTCGTGATTGATGCTTAGCCGCGTGGCGCATTTCCAAGGAGTTTTCCAGGACTGTCACAAAATGCTTGATTTGGCCATTATAAAGAACTCTGGCAGGAATTCGGCGCTTGGTAGCTAATCGTTTCAAGAGATACACCCATTCTGTCCACTCCCGGTCGGCTGGTATTCTCACCTGTCTCTTGTCTGGTTCCACAGGAATGGGGAACTGATATTTTGCAACAAAATTGAAAGCACACCTGGACAAATGATCATTGACTTCATAAAGGATTTTATCCTGCTCTTGGGCATCCAGGCTAGTAGGCAAGAGAGGCAAATCTTTCTCCTGTTCGGCAATAGTCCTTGGAGAAGGCATATCTAGAAACTGAGTAGGCCCATCGAACTCATCGCGGTTGGATGGCCGTCTCTGTGGGTGGTATTTGGCACCGCTTTTCGCATGTTCTGGTGCGCGTCTCTTGGTATGTTCAGGAAAGAAATCAAATGTCTCCATTGACGTGGGTGAATCTGGATCTCGCATCAGAGAATCATGGCAAGAATGCACGGGTGGGGAGTCCCATTCCCCAATACCAGGAGGGGGACGCGGTTGTTGACCAATAGGTCCTAGATTTGGTGCAGTTGAAACATTGGAATATCGATCGTAAGACGAGGTATTGATCAGTGTTCTACCAGGGTTGTTGTATAAAATATGGGGTTCATTGAGTCGTCCATGATCGGGAGATCGGGAGGTTTCTAGCGACTCTCGAGAAAGCTCCCATGATGGAGGGGATGTCCTATTACCACTAAAATAAATGACAGGCTCTCAGTGTCCATTACGAGTTGCTAAGAGTGGAAGCTCAGAACTACCTAGAGTGATACAACCCAGGAGCCTCTGCTGTTGGCCGGTATGCCTGTGGTTCATATTCTCGGTTCAGAACACTCGCGCTAGCATGATTTAAGTGAGTATGCTTGTATTGATTTCTCGGTCCTCTTTGCTCCTTGACCAATTTCCACTGACCTTCGAGGAGGGGGAAATGCAAGTATATCACTGCTCACTGGGTAATAAGTCTGATCCCTATTTGCCGTTCTTCCTTGATAGGGGAAATTTCCTTGAGAAGACATAATTTAGTTTGACGGTCAATGGACATCAAACTCGATCAGAGAGGAAATAAGCAGCACCAAGGGGGCAAATGTGCTTCTTATACTATAACAAGCCTATCACTAGCCAGTAAACGAGGAGTAATTGGCTTCGAGGTGACCAAGGCAGAACCCAGGGGCTCCACAGTTAGTTGGAAGCTGGCGCTGAATGTCAAGAATGACGTTGGCAAAACACAAGACATGACCGTGAAGGGATAAGTTTCGGGAATAATGTCTGACGTTTGCTACTTGATCCTAGTTCCTCAGCCACCGAAAACTGGAGAATGGGCCCTCCAAAACTGGCATCAGTTTCATCTGTCTCTCCCAGTCTTACTGGCGGAGGGATAAGAAAACAAGAGGCCTAAAGGCGAACGGAACAAAATCACACCGCCAAATCAACGCAGGGTACGCGAATATTCCTTGAAGCTCAGGCGCGTCCCGGATCAGGGAGTGAACGTGTGACGGTTTCGCATAGCCCATGAAAACCTTAAATCAATGGCTGCAAATTGCAGCTTTCACCTGTTCCTGGGAGAATTCCAAAAACCAGGAAACACGTTTGGTATACAAGGAAACACACCAAACAGGGAGGAGAACTAGACCATTGGGATTACATGGAAGGAAACTGAGCCCTGGTTTGGGCAGCAATGACCGGAAAAGCGTCCTCCATTCAGGATCAGCGTCCAAGGAAAGGCATCTTCCCACAAACAGTGATCGTTTTCATATTTATTTATAGCTTCGTCAGCTTAGTTCCTGTGGGTTCGAAGATACATAATGACAGGAACGGCGCCTGGAGAGCCAGATGGAAACTATCCGCAGGGTGCGGGGGTCCTCCACACCCAATAAGAAGGTTGACATGCATGCTGCCACAGGGGAATAAACTCACAAGATCCTATCTCTTAATCGCAACAAAGCGTCCCTAGCGTGTGGAAATCACAGATTCACTGTGGCCTTCTGGTCGTTGACAGGTGCGGAGTTGAACCTCCAGATCGCCCCGCAAGCGCTCCCTTCTGCGCCAATGATGTCCGTCGCCCAAGGGCAAAAACCTCAAAATCCGCAGGGTAAGGAATCACGGATAACCAATTGGGGGTCGTTCTCAGGATCAGGCAGACAATGTTGGCGGGTTGTCGGGCAATTGGGCACTGATGCGCATGTCCATTCCCGCCCAATATTGAATGTGTGTCTCACTGTTTTCTTGTTGAAACAATCAACTAATATCCAAGGATGTCCAAGGCAGCACAATCCGCCAGAGTAAATAGGGCTATGACGTCTATAAAAATATGTAAATTGAAGGACTCCAACAATTGAACTGTTCCAAGATTGTCACTCGGCGAAATGTGGAGGTCACGTGGTTCATTGTTCGTCCCCACCTGCCAGGCGTGTACTTAAGTTATCGAGCAAATGAGTAGTATGATCCAATTGCTATGCAAGTAAAATCAGAGATACGGAATAATTTTACGAACAATCGTACCTCCTGGCACATGATCAGCCAGAATCAGGCGAACATGAGAACTGCTCGGCAACAAAAATAGCGCCTTTGTTCATCCCAACAGTCATTGCGGATAGCAAAATGACAAACCCTGGGAATTTGAAACAAAACGGGGAACTCTCAAACACACGACTTGGCTTCATAATTGAAAACAGCCTTTGCCAGCGCTCCAGAATTATATTTCCACACCTGGGCCTGGAAACAATCCGTCAACTCTTGGAGTGTAAATTCTTCCCTGGCTAAGATATCAGCTGCGGCCTCGTAGTTTATATCTTCATTTCTCTCCTCCAAACGGATATAAACTTCGGTCTCGAGATTGAATCTCTTCGCGGCCGTGAGCTTTCTGGACGTAAACACTAATAGTGTTGGAATCTGGTTGGAACTGCTGCACAATTCATGCTGAAACTTCGACGTCAAAACTTCGATGTATCTCTGGGCAAGATCCTTGACACAACATTTCAACCCCTTCTTAGTTAAATCATCCTATAACTCCAGAATGGTGGTGCGTTGAAATGGCTTTCGGATTGCGTCCAGTAAGTCATTCTGCTTTGCCGCAGGGTTGCATTGGAGAATGTCCGTGGGCATATATATTGGGGGATTCAATGAACGTGCCCTCATCCAATGCGGCTTGGGTCGGAGCCACGGGATACCCGTTTGCAAATCCTGCATCTTTGCTGGAAGTGAAATTCGTCCTCCTGCACAGCTGCGTGAATCGATCAATCTCTTGGAGAAGATTTGCAATCTTCGTCTGAGATCCCTGCCAAAGGATCAAGGCAGAGAGAAAGAGGTTCATTGGCTGAGAAAAGTCCATAGAAGCTGAAGTAAATAGCATGCTTAAGGCGAACAACGCTAAATTTCAGCACTGCAAATATTTAGCTTTTCTTCCAACCATATAGACGTCAGGATAAGGTTCGCTAGACAAAGCCATTTTCTTATGAAGTCAAGGAAAAATCCTCTAGATTTTTCCGATGATTTGGTGAATGAGGTACCAGTCGACTTATTGGTGGAGGAACTCTTCTAATCGGCTGTTGAAGATTTACTTAGCTTTGGATTCCTTCCAGCCTTCTCAGAAACTACCCGCCCTCTGGTCTGAAGAAGCTTTTCCTGGTGGTCTCTGGTCAGCAGAATAAGAGGGCGAACTCGATGGTTTATCCTCGACGGTTGGATGTTCGATTTTAATCAGACCCTCCCGGGACAACGTGGCCAAGTCAGAAATATTACTTTTAGAGTGGGAAGGAAATACCTGGGGTGGTGGGGAGGCTTGTCTGATTGAAGAAATTTTCCGCTTTCAGTTTCTTTACAGCTGGTCGTGTCTGAAAGAGCGGCAAGGTCTTGACAAGTTCCATGGTATGCCGAAAATCGTCTTGAGGTCCGTCGCAAGTCATCGAAGGCTGTCGAAATCTTGCCAAACGCCTTCCCACGAGGTAAAATGCTTTGTTATACAGGCCATCAGGGTTATTTCTTCACTTCGATATATAGTATTGCGCCAGTGGCTTCTGCTGCCGCGGCCGCAAGCTCTCTCAAGATCGAATATGAGGTATTCAGCTTCTTTACTGTACATTGTATTTCTGTTAGCCGCAGATTTCTTGAAGAACTTCTATGGAAATAGTAAGTATTTGGTAAGTAATATGGAGGACGCTGATTCGGAACGATCTGTTCTCCGGGAAGAATAACATTGTTGGAGGCGGAATCGCTATGATAGTCCCATGTCAATACCGGATACGGTTCGACACACACAGGTTATTGGGGAAATTGGGATGCGTGTCCTTCAGTTCGTAGTTCTTGGTTTCTCAGTCACACGTTTGTTGGCCGTGTAAGCAATAGAGAATCTCCGGCATTCAATACGTCCCTGCGCAATTGGTTAAAAGAGAGGAGGATATAGAGAAGAGAACATATTAAAAGTAAAAGTTGAAAATCGATTATCAAAAGCTTAAAAACAAACAAAACTGTAGCCAACATTTTTCAACCGATCCACACTTTACCTCCTTTTCTCCGTAAGCAATTTTCCCTACCCCTCCATTGATCCTAACATCTCCTCCTCCCTCCTCTTTCTCGATTCCGGAGTTTCCGCCTCTTCCTCGTAATGAGGTGATGTCAATACATAGACGCCTAATGGCAAACTTAAACGTTTCCGCCGCAGTACGTTCTCTCTTACCGCTAAAACTTGCTTCTCCTTGCCAGTCAACGCCTCCCCCTCGAATCCCTTCCTCTTCTGTTTTTCCAACACAAAGAGAACTTCTATGCGATAAGTTAGTGACTCTGGGCGGGCTGATCCGCTTTACGCAACAGATGAAATGGGTCCATTGCGTTGTTCGCCAATTTGCATAGTGCATACCGTTGTTTCCCCAGTGGTACGAGATAATTGCTATTGCATAAATGGAGAAAGGATGTGAGTGTGTTAAGGGTACCATCAGTTTTGTCACCACCATGCGAGATCGCTCAAATATATGGCAATCTAAGGCTCCAATGTTAGTCGCAGAGGTGAATATCTAGGGTCATCTCCTGTTTCTATTGCATAAAAGGGTCAGTCGGCCGAACCGTGATGCATCAATGTAACGGAAAAGGCTCTATTTATCTTCACTCAGTTCTAGCGGAACTTTGAGAGAAGTTCAAGAAAGTCATGAAATCGAAAACAGATACGACAGCTGATAGGCATTAGTGCGGAAAAAATTGAGTGGTAAGTAATCAGAAAAGCGATTATCAGAAGTATTGAGGCCGCGTGCTCTGGGCAAAAATTGGATATGATCGCTATCATTCCGCTCACCTCGTTGTTCGGTAAAATGATAGAATAACACACAGCGTCTAACAGGTCCAAGGGAATTGGAAAACGGAGGTTTCACCTATCGCTAAAGCAACCCGGTCTCATATTACTCCAGTTCTTGATTAACAAGACCATCAATATCGACTCGCCGATAGTACGAGACGTGCTTCAATTCTTCCCAGAAAAGGGCCATACAGTCGTATGAGAGAAGGAAGAGCTGAGCAGGGATGAACTTGTCTATGACGAAAAATTAATCCGTATTAATACGAAGTTGCATGTATAGAGGAACTTGATAGGGAAACTACTACTCAATTCACAGGAGAGGATGTGGAAAGGGTGGACGGCAACAAAATTGTTAAAATAGGAAGAAAACAGGCAGAAGGAATCACACAGAATCTCACCATCTCTGAAATTTGTTGACGCGATATGGCCCTGGCTGCGCACCACCCGCGCTCCTTTGAAGAGATCTTCATCAGCGATCCTGATTAATCCTTCCGGTCCGATATCCTCTGCGAAAAATGTTATTTGGCCGCGAGGCACGTTCGGGTCACCAGTCAATTTTATGGCTTCTAGCCTCCCTCGTGGTGTTTGGGACGAAGAGCCAGCCAGGGAGGAATATATGGAGCCTGACGAATCGCCCTCAGCGCCTTGCTGTTTCGTGCCCAGAGAATGCTCAAATGGATCATCCCGCTGCAACACAAGTAGGAATTCAGACCCATGACCAGAATAATCGCCCACCCAAATACCTTGGTAAGGCTTTTCTGGCGTCGGGGTATAGAGCTCAGGCTGCAATGATGCAAAAGTGGATACACCATGTCGAGTATTGTTTATATCAAAAACGGCACCGACATTCCCAAGCTGCGCCCATCGCCTAACTCGGAAAGCTGACGTACAAATATTCTCATAACTGTGTGGGACATTCGCTGTCGACTTGAATGACAAATCCTGCTTATAGGAGACGTCGACGCGTTCGTCGGACGGTATAATTCGAGGTGGCCACACAAATTTTCCAGGGTCCTCCTTGTCCTCACGGGGCATTTTGGCACACAAAATAAAATTGTTAAAGACTCGCTGCGCTTCGAGCGCCATGGGCATTCGAATCTCCCCATGCCGCCAATTGATGGAGCGTTTAAATGGCGTGCGGGTAAATTTGAACAGTTGCACGACAGGATCGTCCATCCACAGAGAGACTTGTGGTTTGAATGAGTGGATAAGAACCTCAGGGTCATAGCTCCAAGTTTCGAATTGCCGAAAAGTATGTTTTGCAACGACCCGATAGCCTTCGATCATACACTTGCGGGGGTTGTATCTCGTCACTAAAAGCTTTCCGGTGTCGATCACATCGGAGAACCAGATCTTGTTGCGCGCCACGAACCACATCGGAAATTGGGATATGTATAATTCTTTCCAGGTATTAAATGGCGCAGGGTCACTGAGTGGTTTTGGCAAATTGGAGTTGACGAGGTTCATCCAGAGGAAGTCGCTCTGGGTGTGTTTGAACAGGTGGCGACAGGTGGCAGACATCGCCGCCAGACTAGGTGATGGAAGAAAAGATAGGATTATGTAGAGTATCTCTGAGGGGAGAAGTACTAAGGGGGAGCTGGCCTTGCGGGCAGCGCCTTTTTCGCTGCTGTCCAGTACTGGCATTGGAGGATTATCAGATAGCGCGCGAAGAGCTGGATTTCGCTCGGGCTCCTTAACACCGGGTTGAACAACACCAGTCATCCTTTCATCGTAGAACAGATTGCTGCCTGGAGTAAAAGAGGTAGGGAGCATCATGCCTCGCATTGTCGTTAAAAAAAAAAAAATAAATAAATAAATATCGCAACAGTGGGGTTCGCCAGACAAACAAAACAACGGAGGGATGCGTTCTTGGCGGGGTGTTGCAGATGACACCACTAGGGAGAGCGAACCAACGTTGATGTTTACTTTCATAGCGGAATCTTCTTAATTCCCCATCTCTAATAGTACTCACTTGCAATACACTATAAATATGATTATTTCGCACAAAAAGTCTAGCAAATGTACAGTACAGTCAATTTCGTACCGTACAATATATAATTCTGTACTACCCACGTAACTAATATCTGTGTAGCTCTCCTGATATACAAAAACCTGTCATTCCTTATAGTAGCTCTTACAGCTTCGCCGCTTTCCCTCCCCGCCGCTGCCATTCCTCCACCCGCTTCAATCCACTCTCGTTCACTTTCAACTCCTTCTCCGCCTCTTTCTCCGCCTCCGCTGTATCATCTCCGCACCTCTCTAAAAGCTCATATGTCTCCCTATACATCTCCCTCCTCAACTGACCAAAAACCCCAGAAATGGGCAGCTTCGTCAGCTTTTTCTTCTCAATTAACGCCAACGCCACGTCGACGCCACCAAGAGCATCGACAATCCTATGTTCCAGTGCCTCCCTGCCACTAAAGCGGTATCCCTCTTGTACTATTGTCCTGAATATTGCCGGATTTGCAATTTTTTCTCGGAAGATAGAGCACATGGCGGGTTTCAGGGGGGCTCCGAAATGGACCTCGTTTAGACAGAGGAAGCCGCGTGAGGAGTTGAAGATGCGGTAGTCATGGTACATGGCTGTCATGAAACCGCCTGCGAAAGCGTGGCCATTTATCAGAGCAACAGTGGGGAGAGGATAACTACACGCGAAATTTTGGGACGGGTAAGCCGAAGGTACCTGTCTCAAAAGGGAAAAGGTACAAATACAAAATAATTGGGGACGGGAACCACGCAATAAATATCAAGCTTACGTTATCAGGCGCTTGAAAAGAGCGAAGAGGTTGTTTTCAAAGAAGCCCTTGGTCGCCACGGCCTTTTGGAGATCAAGGCCATTGCTGTAGAACTTCTGGATGGCGGAGGTGGTAATTACAACTCCTGGCGGGTATTTGAACTGGATTATGTCCAGGGAGAGGAGCATAGCCTGACAGAAATCCTCCGTCAACCGGTTATCCGGCGCAAAATTGAAGGTTAGCAGGTACACAGCATCCTGCGGCTGGGTGCATGTTAGGACACCCTCCGATTTCTGGATGGTGAAGAGGGGAGAAGTCATGTTAAAAGAATGTGCAGAGGGGAACGCGCGATGGCCGGGGGGGATGAATTAGGGCTGTTCGAGATCAGCATGTAAAGGAGGATTCCTCCAAAAGGATAAATTAGTGAAATATTAGCTGGTGTTGAGAGCCTTTATAAAGATGAACCTCGCGTAGTGTTGGGTGTTGGTGGAGCAAGCTTCAAATCTTCTGTCGCTTCAGCTAAACGGACGATTCATGTCCACAAGCGAATTTTCCTCTTAGTGACTGGATTAGATTCCTTGACTGACAAATCGCAGTAGCATGATGGCGTTTTCGACGGTAAATCTGCTCGAGATTCCGAGAGTTAACTATAACCTTCCAACAAACCTCGGCTTAACCTTGGAAAGCTGCATTCCGATCACATGATATGTTGGGGTGGATATATCCATTAGGGCCCGCGTTGGTCTTGCTCACGCTCCTGTTGCCTGGCCATATCAAGCTCATCCACTCTATGCCGTCCAAAACGAGAAGCGAATCTACCCAGGAGGGAAGGGCTATCCCGACGACGATCACCAATATCGATCATCTCAGATACTCATTGCCTATTTCTGGTAGACATTCCAGGCCAATATCAAAGAGTAGTGTTCGGGATATTATGGAGGTTCCCCTCAAAAAGGAACCAGAGGTTAGTGAGAGATAGTTTACAGAGTGATACATGGATTTCCAGCTCGGCAACAGCACGTTCCCCAGTCGCTTCCCTACATCATTGTCGCCAGAAACGACATTTTGACTTATACTGCGTAGTAATCTGTACATATATCAGAAGTAATCAACTCAATTATTGCGACCATCGAATGTTCCAAAATCGCGAGCTTGGTGGAGCTCTATCAAGAAGATATGATAATCAGCTGCAAGTTTTCCGCTCAATCAAAGCGTCGCGATGTGAAGTCATTGTCACGCTAAATGGACGCCTCGTAACGCGTACGGAGTACTCCGTACTACGGGGGCTTTTGTTTATTTACATCTAGCCTAATCGGGCAATTGTGAATCTCCAAGTCGTTGAAACAAGAACAAAATGCCCCAATGCAAAGCATATACAGAAGGAGACGTCAGTATGATAATTTTCGAAGAAAGGAGTAGTTGATGTCAATTAGCAAGAGAAATCCACAGCGTTGCAAACTCGCAGTCATTCCGCAGAAAAATTCCTCCAGCTCCACGTGCGCTGTTGAAAAGCGCGTTCTGCACAGACCGCCCAACGACAGCCAGGCAGGGTTTCTTTGACTTTGACGAGGTAATCTGTGCCTGACCGTCTGATTCGGGATTCATTTTTCGTTCCCCGCGAGCTCTGATTAGCGGCGTTGTTTTGATTGTCCCAATTGGGGGATCAACTGTCTGGGCGAAAGCCATATATCTCTCATGCACCCCAGGTTTGACGGCTCTGCTGCCTATAACTTAATTCGTTTTGTTTCTCTGTCAAGTTGTCCAGTTTGGGTGATAAAAGTTTTCCGGAAGAAGTGGAGAGCACATGCATGGTTCTTGCATCCCTTGTGTTGTTCAACAGTGGCATTTGTCACGATCTTTGAATATAAAGGGAAATAGTGATGGGTAAGTCAGGGTTACAGCTTCTCTTCATCTTGAAAACATAAACAAAAGGCTCCCGCAGGATGCTGAAATTGTCATTCCTCTCTTATCCTGCTTCTTGCTCATATACCTTGAAACCTGCGTTCATCTTTCCGTTTATGACTTCTTAACATGTCTTGCTTTATTCGTGTAACCAATGCGCAATTTACTGATTTCCCAATACTAGACTCGAAAAAATCCAATACCCTGTTACCGAACAGTAACAGATGTGACTTATTAGAGAAAGACAATATCATGGCTAGCAAAAATAAGAACACAGCTAGGAAGCGATCTTGCGGCGCATATTCACCAGCAACGGTGGAGAGCAGTACGAAGCAGATAGGAAATGCCACAGGAAGTATTAACTCGTCGCTACCCTCTCTCGCGGAACCTCGCACGCCGTCAAGAAAAACCAAGGTTGCGAAAAGGGTCCGGTTTTCGGACCCCGGCCCTCCCGTTGAGTCTCTATCTAGTTATCTAGATAAAGATTTGTCAACCGGCTTAACCCCAGCAATTAAGCGGACGAGAATTGATTCAGAGGATTCCCCATCCTCTAAAGAAACTAACGCCAAAAGAGCGCGTCGTCGTCGCTCAGAGCCTACTCCGCGAACCGACAGTGATGGGGTAAAATATGAGTGCCCAGAGCTGCCATCTGAGACGCAAACTTTCCAGTTTTTGTCGTGTAGTGCAATTCTTGATCCCAGGGCTAGACGACGCATTGCGCGGTTTGGACTAAGTGAAGAGATGAATTGCATTATTGAAAGGAAGAGGGAAAAGGAGAAAGAGGAAAAGGCTAAAGAAGAAGAACTGATGAACCTCCGCCGAGAATTAAGCGCCTTAAGAGATGTGAAAACCGAAGCTCAAGACGACCGTATACCCCGTACCCCGGAAAGAATTAAAGAGCTTTCTATGGCGAGACAAAGGATTGAGGAATTAGAGGCGCTGTTGAGGACGTATGAGGGTTCGTCACATGCAGAGACTGAATGGATGTCCCAAACTGCAAACGAGGATCACGAGATGATATTTATTGGAGACGACATTACCATTATGGACAACGAGATGCTCACCACTTCATCCAGCCCCATTCCCTCCCGCGTTTCTTCGAGTCATTTACTCACTTCAGACGCGTCAACACAGGTTGCTCTTCAAGACCAGGAGCAGCAAGCGGAGAACAACTCGCTAAATGCTCAACTCCGTAATATGAGACAGGAAAAACGCGCCCTTTTCAAAGAATGGCGCGCAATTGTTGGCTCCAATGAAGTAGGTACTCGCGACCGAAATCCTATTGACAGCTCTCTATATAGTCCAGCTTCGCCTCCACCAAACTTTTTATCGCAAATCGCCACTACCTTACGCAAAGCCGTATCTCGAGAATCTCGAGCTCTCAAAACGCTCGAAACCGTGGCGAAAGACCTCTCTGGCCATGGATTTAATGGTACTAGTGCCTCGGAAATACTCTCGGATATGGGCGCCCGATTTCGTCAAGCCAGACTCGAACTCGAGCGAGCCGTGCCTGGTGAGACAACAAGTGGAGATCTAACCAATTGGAAGGAAATTGTTGACATGCTTGTGGAGAGAATCAACATTCTAGTCCGGGATCTTGCGTCAACCCGTGAACAGGTTTCTGGTTGTGAAAATCGGGAAGTAGCGTTACGAAACCAGTTCAACATGACTTTACATCGCTTGGAGCAGACAGGTAAAAAGAACAAAAGCCTTGAAGAAGCCAGCGACTCCATGGCAGCGGACCTGATGCATGTTCGGATGAAAACGCAAAAATTAGAGCAAGATATAGAGATCTTGGAAACTGACAAAACCCGCCTAAACAACGCCATTGAAAGATATAGAGTCGATCTCAAGATCCTGGAAGAGCTCAATATGAAACTAGAAGATGACACTCTCAGTTCCATGGAAAAGGCTTCTAGTCTCAGAAGAGCGAACTCGGCCTTAGACGGTCAGAACGAGCTGTACAAGCAAAGGATCATAGATCTTGAACAAAGTGAGCTTGATCAGCGAGCCATCAGGGAAGAGATGCAGCGGCTACTGGACCAACGCACAACGGAGTTAACGGCCCTCGAATCGAAAATTGAACAACTTAAATCCGAACATCATGAAGCGATCGTTTCCCAATCATGCAGTCATGAGAAACAAATGGGCGCAATAAACGTTCGTGTTTCGTTGCTTACCAACGCGTTGAATGAAGCCCAGTCAGAAATACAAACACTTCGTGCGGACAAGGCGCGTTTGCAATCTCGACTAAACTCCCTACAACAATTATTTTCTCGGGAAACCATTCATGCGGCTAGAGAAAGAGCTGCTGCCACTGCTCAGGAACTCATGGAATGGGAACGGAAAATGTCTGCTTTATATGGCGGCGGCATTGGTAGTCCCCAGAGCCTGCAAGTTCGACAAAATGATAACTCTGGCGACAATGAACACTGTAGCACCCCGAAAGGCGATACGGCTGGGTTTGCACCTGTTGGGAGCGAGCCGATTACACCTTCTTGCGACAGATTTGTGAATGTAGAGATCCAGCGGGGGAAGAAAAGGAAGAGGCGGCCGGATTCTGCGATTGAGATTGTGGAAGAAGAGGAGGAGGGTGAGGATGGTTTTGAGGATTCTGGAATCGCGGACAAGTCTTAGGGGTAAGCTGCGATACCGTTCACCAATCTACATTCTTTGCATTTCGTTGGGCGTTTCCTCTGTGTTGTATCGGACGTTGGCTGCTGATTTCTCTCCTTTTAGTTTCCTTTATTTATTTATTTATTTTTATTTTTATTTTTTTTTTCATACTTACTTTTGGACATTCCGCCGTACTGTTTATCCTGGAATAGTTTCTTGGGATTTCTCAACCTTTTTTCCTTTCCTTTTTGTGTTATTTTTGGATATGTATGCCGTGTCACCAAATAGATATCGTACAATATTACAGCTTTCCAATTCCCAGTGTTCCAGCTGATTATTCGTGGTTTTTTTTTTACTACGTATAGCAGGGATCATATTGTCCTCTCGAAGCACAACCAGGGTTTTGATGCCCATCTTCGACTCCATAGCACCAGCCAAACATCCCGTTCTCCGCTCGTTCTGAAGGGAAATGGGCTAAAGATGATACGAGTAGATATCTGTATATATTTTTCAGAATAGGGCCCCTCCTCGTGGCATAGCCATTTGCTATAACATAGGAGATTAGGGAGAAGAAATGTATATCGGTCTATCATATGAAAATTATCCAGAAACATTCTTGGGGGCAAAGTTTACACCATCGCTTGGTACATAAGTAAGTCTAATCGTGTTGTTAAGTTTAACCCTGCTATGACCAACAGCCATCTGCGTATATATTTATATGAAACACGCACGGATATTGTATGTTTAATATAAATGATAGGCCGTCTCTTGCAATGCTCTCACCGCCGCGTCTCCATGACACCTGATACCATCGGTTTATTTACTTGGAAGACTGACGATGAGAGAACACAATCCCTTTCAATTGAAGTGATACAGATGTACAATATCTGAACCGATCGAAGTGAAGAAGTGAATGAATGGTTCTTGTTCCGATATTTTTTAGACGTCCGACTTACATAGTATACGATTTCCAGCGTTTTCCATTGTGTTTCTACGTGTATATTTATACGACTCTTGAAAAGAAGAGGGTCATCCCCATAATGCCTCCCGGGGAACAGAGCTACACCCTCTCCGTCACAGCAGGTCCCGGCTACAACCCTTCAACCCACAGGCCAGTCGCCGTCAACTCCTCCGTTCCCCACCTCATAGAAACAGAGCACGCCACCATCGACCTCCGTGTTCGCATACAAGAGTACACAGGTACGTAGAACCGGCCCTGCCCAAGGGCATTTCCAGTCCACTCTGCTTAACTTTTATCCACCCTCAGGCCTCCCCCGGAACTCCCCGCGCACCTGCCCATACTTCTCCCACCCCGCCCACACAAACGACCAATACTCCATCGCCATCTCCTTCGTCCCCAAGCGCGCGATTCCTGGTGCAGAGCTTGTCTTCGGCAACGATTTCGACCGCCCCATCCGCGACAGGTTGCCGCCGGGTACAAACCAGGCGCTGAAGTTTGTTAAGTGGGCTATTGACCCCGGGTTAGAAGGGGATGCGTATGCGGATAAGCCGTATTTGTATGGGGCGGCATTGTCAAGTTGGAATTATTTGAGGGTTTGTGGGGTTGTCAAGGAGAGGGAGGAAGGGGATATGGTGGGAAGCGGAGAGGGGAGGGGCGAGGACCAAGAGGAGGAGGTCATTGAAGAAGGTGGGGAGGGTGATGGAGAGGAAGTTCGGAGGAAATTGAATGTTCCTAACGATCCGGCGGGGAGGAGGAAGTTCTTTTTGGTTGAGGGAAATCGGGATCGATTTGTGTTTGAGAAGGGGAGACTGTATAAAGCGGATTTTGGGAATGGGTATTTGGGATTTAGTGGTGAGTTTTATTGACCTACAGACCCGTCGATATCGCTATCCCTTCTCTTCTGTTTTCGAAGAGATTAGGAGTGTTGATAATGGGGATGTGTACGCAGATTTCTCCCTCCGCCTCCCCGGCTTCAGCATTAAGGTAGCTAAATACATCGATGCAAAGAACCATCAACTTCGCTATGTGCTGAAGAATAAAAGCACAGGCGATGTATATTTTGTGGTGTTGTTTACGTTGCTTTTGGGTAAGGCTGGTGCTCGTGATTGTGACGATAACGCATTCGAGAATGTTGATGTCGACGATGAGGGAAAAAATGAAAAAGGTAATAATAACGAGACGTGGTATGACGAGGACGACGAGGGCGTCGATTGAAAAATTTGCTATGGCCCTCGTTTCTTTCCTTCCACCTTTAAATGCATTGGGTCCGAATTTGGCTCAGATTTTTGGGAGTTATGGTGCAATAAGGCGATCTTAATAGATTGGATGGTGTTGTGTAAGGGTTAATAGAGCTATGGCGTCTGGCATGTTTGCATTGTTCAATTCGAAATCTATTTTGATAATAAGAATTCTTGGTTCACAATTTTTCGCTTTCACCTTGCGCTATTGCAGTCTAAGTGGTCTCCAGACCACCCATACAAAACCGTACATTTTCTCACAGCCTCCTTAGTACATCCGCCACCACTTCCTCCGCTTTCGCCTTCCCCCCCAAATCCGGCGATAAAAACTTCCCTTCATCTAAGTTCGCATCAACCGCCTTATAGATGCTAGCGGCAGCTTTTTCTTCTCCCAAAAACTCCAACATAAGTGCAACACTTCGCAGCGTCGCGATCGGGTTCGCGATGCCTTTGCCCTCAATGTCTGGCGCAGAGCCATGACACGGTTCGCCGATGGCAAATTTTTCACTAACGTTGGCGCTGGGTACGAGGCCCAGCGAACCGACTAGCGCCGCAGCGCCATCTGAGAGGATGTCGCCATATAAATTGGGAGCGACAATGACGTCGTAGTAAGAAGGTTGGCGGAAAAGTTTGTATACCATTGAATCAACGATTTGCTCTTCAACGGCGACGGTGTCAGCGAAGCAGGGCTGTGCTAGCGCGCGCCGTGCCGTCTCGCGAAAGAGGCCGTCGGTTTGGCTGAGGACGTTCGACTTGTGGGTAATGGTGACCATGGGCTTGGACCTGGTGTTCGATTTGGTGCTTGCGGCGGCGCCATCGCGTATCTTTTGCCTGCGCAGGGCGATGTCTCCGGCCATGGTGGCGATGCGGAAGGAGGCATGTTCTGAAATCCGCTTGATGGCCTCGGCGACTTTGCCGTTGGGGGAGTCGAAGGTTTTCTCGTCTTTGACGTAGAGGTCTTCAGTATTTTCACGGACGATGACGAGGTCGATGGGGTTGGAGCCAGAGGAGCCTATTGTGGTACGGACGGGGCGCACGTTTGCGTATAGGTCTAGTCGTTTGCGGAGGGCAACGATAGGGGAGGAATAGCCCGTGACTTTTGTGCTGGGCGAGCTGGAAAATTTCATGAGTACAATAAGGTCCTCGCAATTGGGTATATTAGTAAATAAAGCAGCTCAGTTACCTGACAGCCCCAAACAGCGCACCGTCACATTCTTTCTTGAGGATCTCGACGGTTTTATCTGGGAGGGCCGTCCCCGTCTTCTTGAAGGTATCATACCCTGCCTCAAGGTCAACAAAGGAGAATTGTAGACCCAGAGACGAAGGCAGGGATTCGAGAAGTTTGCGGCCAGCCTGTTTTTTGTAACGTCGCTCAGAATTTCAAAACTTCAATGGAAGATAGCGACACAAGTCTCTCTCGTTTATAGTTATCTCGACTCATCGAGAGCAAGGATATTGGATAAACGTACTGGGATGACTTCCCTTCCGATTCCGTCGCCGGGGATGAGGCCTACAAAATTTGTGAGTAATAGCAAAATTGAATATAGCGAGGCGGGCAGGAAGCAATTGACCTATTCTGAGTGTTCTGGCAGCCATGGCGGTGGAATAACTGTTGGATGCTATATAGAATTCTCTTCTATCTCAAATCCAAGCATTGGAAAATGTCGGCGAGCCGCGATTGCTTATGTAATAAAGCCTCGGCCAAAATAGAGTTTGGAACACCCCTGTGTTTACGTTTTTCCTGATCGGGCGATTTTGGTTGGGCAATTTATTTCTATCACCGTTGTGAGGAAATAAAATAAAAGGATAATTCGCCTGAACTCGCGTTTGTGCCGTTAAACTACTAGTAAGTAGTTATATCCTTTTAGGAAACCGTGCAATGATGACATTATCATCAGTGGCGTTTGAAACGCCCGTCAGGTTTCAGGGCAAAGACCACTGGACAGATTGCACGGCGGTTTGAGCCAGCGTCCATATTCTGCTCAACTCGATATCGTCTGAGAACACCTAACAATTCTCCATTCAGGCAAGTCACGGAGTTATTCAAGAGGAAATAAGCTTGAGGTATGCGAGTTGCCAGAATCATGCGAGTGGTGAAGGGAGATAGGCAATAGACCAGTTGATCGTTGATTCCCGAATATAATTCCAGTGGAGATAATATGATTACTTGTCACTCGTTGGTTATTTATATCTGGCCGTTGATGGGTGTAACATTGACCCAGCGGCAAAGCCCCTTTTTTCTGTATTATTTATTTCCTTTCATTGTAAATATGCGCACCGCACCGTGGCCTGCAGCAGACACAAGAAAAAGAAAACAAAAGGCAAAAGAACACCGTTGGCGATCACCAACATATTTTTATACTCTTATATTGAGTCCAAGGACCATCCATTTTTGTCATCTCCAGAGTAGCATTTAGCTCAGTATCTACACATTCAATCGTGCGTTTGTTGGCTCTTGAGTCTTCCCTTCGTTGTCGACTGCTACAAGCGCAGTCACGTTACCCGCCCCCTACGCGTTGTTGCTCCTTTCCCGTTTCCGCCTCACTCATCCTCCCTCCTCAACCTCGACTTCAGCTCCAACGTCGCATTATCGCCTGTTTCACAATTACTTCCTTCATCAACCTCCCTCGTCCTAGAAATATCGCCCTGTATTACTATATTCTATCTGTTTCGTCTCCGCGTCTTCTCTACAGACAAACACACGTCAACCTCCGTCCACATCACCTCTTTGCATGTATCCACTCTCTACCTACCATTTCGCCAGCAATCCAACCCCCCGTCCTCCGCGCTATTGACCGACCAGCTGGCTGGCTGACGCATTGATTATTGATCCTCCTGGTCATCCACCATGTCGGATAACCGGGCCCAGACTGGTGTCCGGAGTCTCCTGGCCCGATTTGAGAATAATAATAACAATTCATCAACTTCACCCCCTTCGAGGGGCCGCTCCCCAATCGATCAGGACGGCCCCGGCTCCGTCCGCCCTCTCTCTAAGGTTAGAGCAAGCTTCGTGGCCGTCGAACGCGCTGGTCAATCTGGCAGTCCTCCCATGTGGGGATTGAGGAAGGCGGCGGATCTGGACAGCAACAATACAAATAATAACAATAGCAGCGCCAATAATTCCCCTGGGAAGATTATCAGAACCATCTCTAGTGGCGTTGATGATGTGGGCAGCCCCATTGAGAGGTCCGTGACGATGTCTTCGAGCAACAGTGCAGATAAAGGTACTATGATGAGCGAGTCGTTGTCATCCTCGTTCCCTGATAACAGGAATAAAAATAATACAAATGCCAACAACAACAACAATAATGGCGGGCTCCTGGGTAGCGGGAACCTTAATAAGCCTTGGGCTGCAAAGCTACCGTCTCGACTCATGGATTCCCCTACACCTGGCAAACAATCGGCCTCAGAAGACATTTTAATGGTTGCAGCTACGACGGAAGGGAAAGATTCGGGCAAAGTCAAATCCAAGCGCGGCCCACAAGAAAATATGCAGCAGGAAAAAGAGGGAGCACCGATTGCCGCTGCTCGTATGAACGGAAAATCTGCTGATAAAGCTGCAACCAAGAAATCGAAGCCATCTATGAACCAGCCATCACGTCCGGCAAAAATTGTTGTCGGGAATGATGCTAATAATGCCACGTCTAAAAAGACTTCGACAAAGGAGCTGAAATCACCCCTCCCTCGGACTCCCAGAACACCAACTACAATGACTAATCTCGTCGCTAAAACTACACCAAAGGAGACAGACAGACCTAGAGCTGCAGTTACGAAACAACCCATTCAACCTGCAGCGGACAAAGCCACAACAAAACCCTTGTCGTCAGTATCCACCCGGGACAAAATTGCAAAGCCATCTTCCGAGAACCCTCCTGCAACTAACAGATCCCGCACAAGATCTCCAACAAAACCTATCCGTCTTCCAAATTCAATGGCAGCACCAACAGCGTCTTCTGCAGCGAAATCAAACGCTGATGGCCGCCCGGCTAGTCAAGCGGGAACACGCATATCAAACCTAACTCGCAAGCCCTCTAGTTTGAGAAGTGATCGAAACAACTCATCAAAATCCACTGGTCCAATAGGTTCTGCTGCACAAAAGCCAGCCAAACGAGCATCTTCCCTTGCTCCCCAGAAAAATACAGCTCACGACAGACCAAGGTCTCGCGTCAGCAATGTTGGGGCTGTTCGGGCCCCTGATGAATCCTTTTTGGCGAGAATGATGCGCCCTACTGCAAGTTCTGCAAGCAAGATGCATGAGAAGGTTGAAATCAAAAGCCCACCCAGAGGCTCTGGTCCACCAAAGGTTCGGAGGAAAAGTGGAGAAAGTGCAAGTAGTCATGTCAGTGCGAATGCACCAGCAAAAACTCCGCCCTCGTCGAAAAAGAAGATCCTTGCCAACCCTGCGCGAGCACTGTCGTCAAATGGGGATGTGGAACCTCTTAAGGAGCCGGAACCGGATGGCACCCAGACTGATACTAGTGCCACTGCGGCTGAGGTTGAAACTGATATCCAAAATCCCGAACCTCAACCAACTGGGGAACTTGAACCTGACCCTGATGCTGAGCTTGGGCCATCCGTCGCTGGACAAAAACCCGTCGCAGTCGAGCCAATTCCTCAACCTGAAGCCGAGCTAGTGGCCGAACCTGAGCAAGCCATCCCTGAGCCTGAGCCCCGGCCAGTTTCAGCCGAACCAATTGTCCCCGAAACTGCTGCAACTGAACCCACCCCAGGTCCTTTGCCCGATAAAGCAGATGTGTCCATCATCGAAGTGGATCCTGCAGGAATCCCATTACCTGAACCTACTGAGCACGTCGAGCTATGATAGTTACTCGTCCAGGAGGGCTAGGGGTTGCAAGCTTATCCTGTATTCTCAAGTTTTCATATGCAGCCCTCAACCAGGTTATGACATCAACAAGAACAAGAACAAGAACAAGAACAGCGTCATGCATCCTTCCAAGCGCCATTTTCACTTCATATAAGCTCAATTTCATTTCGATTTCTTTTCGATCAATCATCATCACCAATATAATTATTTAACATAATTGCTTTTTTATGTTTCTTACCTTTCTCCCCTCCAATATTACTCCAAACTTCACTCAACCAATACAATACCCCTTTTAAATTGGATGGTATGCATATCGCTTGCATGCTTGCATTGCGCCGTCTTTTTTCTGCCCTTGATTTGACTAGGCTTTTGCTTGGCTTTACGCTACCACATTGAAACAGTGACCAGGAGTATTGTTGTTTCCTTGGTTTTTTTTTTTTTTCCTTTTTGATTTCCTTTCCTTTCTTTTATTATTTGAGCAAATACACGGTTTATTTTTCCATCATGTATCCTTTATTTTGAAAGCTTTACGTTCTATTCTATTCTTTCACAATGGCTCAAACTAATTTTGCTTTTGTGAAAGAGGCTTTAGTATATAATAAAACAATAAGAAAAGAATGATTATTCTATCTACTTTTCACATTTTTTTATCATATCACTCACTCTTCACCATTTTGTCTTCTCTGCTACTTTGCAGTTATTTATTTTTATTTTGCCTTTTCACTGTTTTCATTTCTCTTATATTTTTATTTGCTATCTCTATCATTTTGGAAATTTAAAAATTTGCCGTACTAAATATATCTTTCTTCTCTTTCTCTGTGTTCTCAGTTTTATTGATTTTCTCTCTTCATCTTTATCTCGAGCATTTAAGTGTTTTTGGTCCATTTTGGCATGTTTGATTCTGAGTTTTATTCGGATTTGATTTAAATCTTGATTGTTCCTTATTTTCGATTCTATTAGTTCGATTTGTTGAGATAGCAAAATTTTTAAATTGAATTGAATTAGATATTAAATTATCAATCTTTTCCACCTGCATATGAAAATGTCAAGTGTATAGTATACTGTCAATGGTTGTGCCTTCATTGCTTCACTGTCAACTCTCTACCGTTCCTCTATACAGTGGCAAATCAGTTGGTGGGTTGGATAGCGCAGTGGGAGCGTTTGTATAGAAAACCTCTACAAGTAAGTACAAAATAACTGACAATCGTTTCCGCAGAGACACAGAAATCACGATTTGAATCCCATCTCTGCCAACGCTTCATAATAATATCAAGGGTTCAGAGAAGGATATGTAACGGGCAGAGTTAGCTATATTGAATACTCTTTCTTTTTTTATCAGCTATATAAGTTAAGGATGAAAACGGCTCAATAGTTTCAGAACCATAAGAAATACACGAATAATAAACAGGGAATATAGTGCACCTCCACGTAAAAAAAAGGGGGTAAAAGGAGAGCAAAAAAAAAAAAGAGAGAGAGAGAAAACAAATGCTGAGAAGAGTGGGACTCGAACCCACGCAGGTTGCCCTACTACGAAGCCCGTATGACCGAATCAGGTGATTCGTCATGCCAAGACCTGAACGTAGCGCCATAACCACTCGGCCATCTTCCCGATACTTGGTTGACCGGAGCAAAATCCGAGGAATTTTTATATAACGCTTAGTGGCTCGAGTGCTGAACCTGGGAGGGTTTTGTCAACAAATGATGGTTTGATAATAATAGAAACGAGTGTGATGAAATATCCATGTGTCAGTTTGTTTCTGGGTGTTTTTCTCTGTTTGCAGAGCGGGCGAGAAACTATGCACTCTATTTGAATTGCCAAGCGTAGATATTGTGTTTATGACAGAACATTGCAAAGAAAGGGGTGTGTGTTGTTGATGATGTATGATGCATGCATGAAATGGAAATGGATAGCTCTGACTCAGGACCTGGTTTCAATGATCTTTATTCACATGTATTGATTAGTGTTCCTGGGTTGTAATACAATGAAAAACAATAGGAGCAGCTTCACTGCTTAAATCAACCCATGATCATGCCGTGAGTTCCTATAGAATTCGTCACGGGCTCACCTAGTAACATACCTGTGGGCTTGTGGTTATTTCCGAAAAATGAATCTGGAGTTTCTGTCACCTGGGAACTCCATATCTCCCG